TAGGAGTGTTTAGTGTGCGCATATTTTTATGGGTGATGTATGTAGACCTGCTAAATAGGCTCGTTGAGTGAGGTTTCATTAACCACGTTTTTTGATATTTTTATGGAGTATTACTCACATATAGCACACACAAAAAAAATCAGCGCAATTGGATAAATATTAAAAAAGTTATGCGGCTTTGAATAATAAAACATTAGGCCTCAGAAATTTATCGCTTAGAGATGGTATGACGTCATCTCTCGAGTCAAGATGGGCTAAAGGCCGTCACACGACCAACGTGAGAGATGCAGTGACGTCACCGCGTGTTTCAAAACTTCCAAATCTGGAGCGTTTTGATAATTTATTTAAATATGAACAAGGGCTCGGAAAATTATGAAATTTTGCACAACTGCTAAACTCAATACCTACGCTCTTTTAGAATATGTAATAAAAAAAATATGCTGTACGAGCCTATTGGTTTAAAGTTACGTGGCAACCTTGTCTACTATCCTTGTAGAGACAGACTATTTTGCTTTTAAGGCCGAGTTCGGCTTTGCACTCCACGGAGCGAAACGGTATGAACAGGGATATCGTGACGGTGACGTCATACGCAGAGTGCGCCCTGAAGTCTGTGTTTTTGTTTTTTTTAAAGATAAAAGTCAAAATGCCATTATGTTGGCAATACAATGAAAAATTGTCAATGTTTTCAAATTTTTTATGTGTAGAAAAGGCTTCAACATAGTTACTAAATTTTTGACTTGGGGAATTATCTTTAAAAAAGACAGACTTTAAGCCAAACACAGATCGAAACAAATCCTCAAACCCTTGCGCAGTCACTAAACTCAAAAAAAAATGTTTCGTTTTGATTTTAATTTTATTTTACTAGTAAACCGTAGTAAACGAGTAGGTGAATTAGTAATGGACCTGAAATAAAAGTAGAAATCTAGGAAAAAATCCGCGATAACTAATTTCTCTGGTGCTCCTCCATCCATCCATCCATCCAAAAGAGAGCAAGCTCAGGGTCAGAGTACGTGCTTGATTGTAACCAAAACGCAAAAGAGAACACTCTGAGAGCTAAAACAAACAGGATCTTATCGTTTCGAGCGCGCTTGAACTGCTCGAAGTTTGCCGAGTGTAAAGCCAGTGCATGTGCAGAAGCTAGCTTCTGGATAGGAAATATAGGAATTGGCAAATTAGCTATCCAAGTGCTCCTAAATAGTCAAAAAAAAACAGTCAGTCAGATTTTTTTTATAACCAGGAATAGGAATAGGTACTAGGGGATTACTGGTTTTACGTGTACTTAGGTGGGGAATTTGCAGCGAATCTGATGACAGTGGCTAGAATGTTGAATTGGATTTGGATGCTATTCGAGCAAGAACACTTATTGCTTATTGAGCTGAAAGTGTGTGCCATTTTAGCCGCAGGCCTCAACTCTTGACATAAAAATGTATAAGCCGAGTTTAAAACAGTATAGGTTAAAAAAACGAATTGCTAAACGTGATATACTTGTTAAAATCACCTTTTCTACATTTAAAATCCATGAAAAAACAAGCACAACCTGAATCGCAAGCATCCCATCGAGGCCTGCGGGTGACGTCACCACTATAAGAGGCTTTTAATAGTACCGACGTCAGTCGCAGGCCTTGCCGACTCGAGAATTGGCGAACGTACGCCTTATGAGGATAAGCAATCTTATTGGGATTCTTGCTATTCAAGTGTTTCCAAATGGTCAAAAAAATCAGTTAATCATTAAACTAAATAGAGATTTTTTCTCATTATTAGGAAATGGAAAATGGAAATTGTTGGCTTCACGTTTACCTATACTTGATGGTCAGAAACTAAAATGTTTCTGGATAGGACTTGGGTGCTCCTAAGGGTGGGTATTATAAAACTGCTTTGACAGTTAACTTGAAGTTAACTTTTTGAATTACATGTAATTCTAGAAGTTAACTTTAAGTTAACTTTCAAAGTAGTTTTATAATACCCGCCCTAAATAGTCGAAGAAAAACTTGAATTATTTATTATTTAAATTACAGATTTTTTTTTTTGCATTATTAGGGAACTGAACTACTGGCCTTACGTTTACTTAGGGGTGTAGAGATTTGCAGTGAATCTGATAGCAGTGGCTATAATCGTTAATGTTGTATTGAAATTAGGTGTTATCTAAGTGCTCCTGAATAGTCGAAGAAAAACTGCAACTTTTTAGGAGCACTTAAATAGCACCAAATTCCAATACAACAGCATTTTAGTCACAGTTATCAGATTCGCTGCAATGCAAGACATCCTCAAGTAAATTTAAAGCCAGCAATTCCTTAATAATGAAAAACAAAAATCTGTACCTACTTCAGTTAATAATTAACTGATTCAAGTTTTTCTTCAAATACCTATAAGCACTTAAATAGCACTAATTCCTATCCATAAACATTTTAGCTTCTGATACAGCACCAACTAAACGTGAAGCCAATAATTTGCCAATAATGAAAAAAAAATCTATAAATCATTTAATAATTAACCGATTCAAGTATTTCGTTGACAATTTGGGAGCACTTAAATAGTACCTAATTTCTATCCAGGAACATTTCAGCCTTTAACACACCACCATAAGTAAACGTGAATCCAGGAATTTCATAATATTGAAAAAAAATCTGTAATTCAGTTAATAATTAACCGATTCAATTTTTTCTTTGACTATTTAGGAGCATTTTAAAAAGTATAGGTACCTATTATGTAAATTCTGATACCAAAGAAAAATTTTAAAAAATATTTTCACTACAGGGGACTGCTATAGGTATTTCATGTAAACCTAGCAATCCCTTCGTTTTTTTCTACAATGGGACTGCTAGGTTTATTGACCTAATATTCTGGAAAATCAATAAATAACCTCATACAATTTCAAATCTGGGGAGATACCTACTTTGGATAAGTATATGTACTATTAACTTTACATTTATAAATAATTTTACATGTCTGTATAGACTCTACGCTTTAATAATAAGTATATATTTCTAAAATCTTGGCTCTACTGTAGTTAATAAAAATAAAGTCCACAACCATTCATTAAATAAATACAAAAACATTTAATTTATTTTTATTATTTATCAGCATCAGCTGATTACATGTTCCGCGCGCCCGCCGCGTACACAAACCCTTCAACTACTCTTTGTTACTCCTCCGCGATCATGTTAACTGATCCCGACCATAGCCGATCGAGTTCGTGAGTAGATCATTTGCGGATTAGCACAAATGCACAGTAGCACAAATGGAGCCATCTCGAATAATGCAGGGAGCTGTACGAATACAGGAAAGGAGGATAAGGGGAACAACCATCACCTTTCTGACAGATACCAAATAAGTATTTCAAGCCTTAAATAAGGTGAAAGTAACATCTAAATTAATCCTTGAGTGCCACGAGACACTAGAGGCGATTGCCCAAGAAAATACGGTCATGGTGTCGTGGATTAAAGGCCACAATGGCAATCGAGGGAACGAAAGAGTAGATACCCTAGCACGCACTGAAGCTAAAGGGAAACCAATCGAGGGGTTTCCGGGAAAAACAACATTAGTCACTTTTTGTTGAAATTGAGTTGGCAACGCTGTTGAGTTCTACATGTTTCAATGCTGCTCTCCGATGTTTGAGTTTCCCGTAAAAAGCACATATATCTCCGTCTAAAATGCGTTTAAAGAATCGTCGGTTCCATAAGAATGACATTAGTCAACATATATTTCCCATAAAAATAACACATCAGTTTTTGTTAATTTGCCACATTTTTTTCTTTTTGACAAATGTTGTTTTTCCCAGACACCCCTCAATCGGTCCCGAGCCTTTTGCGCCGTTGACCAGCAAAACTGTAAAACTAGAAGTCAAAGAACACTTAGACAGAATTCTTAGAGAGAGTTGGGAGAGTCAGGACTTCAGACACTCGAGAGCCGCTATCGGTGGCACTCGGGCAGGCCTGACAGATTGTCCTCGAACTGTCTAGGAACAAACTGACGAAACTTATAGCAGTACTTACAGGCTACTGTAAGTTAAATAAGCACCCTTCACACCTTGGGATTGATAAACTACCCAACATGCAGAGGGTGTTTATGTAACACATGTTGTGCCACTGCCCAGCTCTCGTGAGAATCTATCATGGAGGACCGGTGGCCATCAGTGGCCACAATTATAGGGTACTCCGCTGCCACATTTTTGAACTATATCAATACTGTTGGCAGGCGTAACGAGTAACACTCTAACAGAGGATACAATGGGCCCACTAAAGAGGCCTAAGTATAAGGTGATCCAAGTCACCCCTCCAAATCTCTATCAATCTATCTATATTATTTTTGTTGTGTTTAATAATAGTCCGAAAACTGACGCTTATAAATAAAAAAAACTTCCAATAAATTTATTGCAAATGAACTTGCTATTGATAAGTGTGTCACGTTCATAAATAAATATTATCCAAAATCCTCATAAAAATGTCATCTGGGTGCGATTAGTATAATCAAGAAACGAAGGTTTACTTGATAAATTATTGGTTATTTCACAATGGAACTATAAATAAACAAAAATGTAGTATATATATATATATATATATATATATATATATATATATATATATATATATATATATATATATATATATATATATAAAAAAATATTTGGTTTGATTTTCTATGCTTTTCCATCCATAGACGCGTTTCGACCTATCAGGTCTCATCAGTATGGCTAGGAAAAGCAAAGAAAACCAAACCAAGTTTCGTGCCTGTAGGCAATATATATATATATATATATATATATATATATATATATATATATATATATATATATATATATATATATATATATATAATCCTCATTCGTCATAAACTTCAAAATCAAGTTTTCAGCAATAGTCGATTTCTATAATATTTAAATTAATATCAATTTTACATAAACTATCAACCTCTTGGATGATTGAAAACATTTTAATGTACAAGAATTAATTATTGAAATTAAATTATGTTAATAATAGTACAATTTACTATTTTTGTTACAGTTAAAAATATCATTTATCGACGATGCAGAAATATACGAGTACCCATCAGAATCGTCAATGCTACTAGAAGACTCCCAAGAAAGGTCAATACCTGGTACAAGTCAAGTTGGTCAAACTATTCCAACACTTTCTGGTAAGTATCTGATACAATGATAAAGTTCTTCGATAGCTATAAACTTATCAATTCTGTATTTATTTCAACATCTTTTTTCTATGATGGTTAGGTTCTTCTCTATCCTCCTACACGCCAAAAACTACAGAGGATTTTCAGTTAGGCATCACCAAGAGCTTCCAGGAACCGCCGCCGTTGTCTCCCAAACCAGTTGAAACCCAAGAAGACCAACAGACTGTTCTAGAAGAAGTCGAACAACCGGTTCTGTTCAGTTCAGGGAGTACCAGTGATATACTTTTTTAATTTGTAGATTAATGTTACGAGTAAACGCCAATTGATAATATATGGACCAATTTGTGTATATTTTAAAAATAATTTTACAGCTTTAGTGTTTTTGTGTAATTGCTGTTCTAAGTGGGCGAGTTTTTGTAATCGTCCAAAAAGTAAAGCTTTAAATGTACGGATTTTGGACAATCCTTTTACCATTAAAAGCAATTTTAAATTGCTTCAAATGCTTTAAACATTCCATTTATTTTGTGCTAACAGTTACAATAGCATTCCAGGCTAAAAATTAGTTTAGTGTAAAAATATCATCATATAAGACTGCTTAACTTATAGTGGCCTTTTATGCCTGCCAAAAACCTTTTTTTTTTTAAATAAGAATATTTATTTAATAAATTTTTGGTAATACATATTTCTTGCTTTTAAAGGTATTTTTGGAAACTACTTCAAAGCATCACTTTTTGATGTCAGCACTTGTTTTACATCACATAAAATTTCAAATTTAAAATGCCCGAAGTATTTAAAGAAAGCATTTAATTGGTACAGTATGTCCTATAAGTCGTTTATTTTTCTTCAAAACCTAATTGTTATAATATTTGTATAAAATATCTGTGATTTAAGTAAAATAAAAACTATTTCTTAAGATTTTTGTCCTATTTTTTTTTTATAATAAATTTAATTTTGTGTGCAGCCAATAGTTTGTAAGGTATGAATTATACAGGATGTTTTAGAATCTAAGATTTTGCAAAAAAAAACTATGATTCAATTTTTTTTCTGCCTTGCTTTAAAGCTGATACTGCAGGCGTATTTTGTATGGATCCACGTTTTGAAGCTTGTTTTTTAAATGATAAGTAATTTGTAATAATATTTGAATAATGGCTACGTATACGTCTCGTTTTTAGAAATATATACAAGTATTATTTATTAATTTGGTTCATTTTATTTCATTCACTTTTTTTTATCTCGGACTCTAAACCAGTGTTGGGCAGAATTTCCATGGTTCCAAATAGGATCTTTCTGCGTTGGGGGTGGATTGATTTGAGACACAAAAACCTCAATTTTACAACTTTAATGTGAAAATAAGATGGTTTTTCAATGAAAGTGGACTGTATTTGTTGCTAAGATTTTATATAAAAAAAAATGTATTTTTTCTGTGACGGTAAAAAAGTTGATTTTTTGTACCTGTTGACAGGGCAAAAAGGTCCCATGGGAAAAAAGTGATTTTTTTCCCCACAGGAAAAAAGTAACAGGTACCAGTCAATTTTTTTTCCCAAGGGAAAAAAGTAATAGGTACCTATACAAGTCAAATTTTTTTCTCAAAGGGAATAATGTATAGATGGAAAATGTTGATATTTTCCTGTCACAGAAAAAAATAGTGTATTATACATGGGAAAAAAGTAAGATTTTAACGCTCGCTGCGTTGTCTCCCTCCACTTCCCGTCGGGAGACAAACCACACCTCACGCTAAAATCTAGTAATTTTTTCCCTTGTAAAATAAATAACTATTTTTCTTTGATTGGAAAAAGGTAGACTTTTTGTACCTGCTGACAGGGGCAAAAATATCAGTTTTTCTCCCACGGGAAAAAAGTGATTATTTTTTCCCCACGGGAAAAAAGTAACAGGTACCAGTCAATTTTTTTTCTCAAAGGGAATAATGTATAGATGGTGAGATTTTTCCGTCACAGAAAAAAATAGTGTATTATATTATCCGTTCACAATCCGATGTCCACAGATACAGGTAAAATTTATCACCTTTCAATGCTATTTGATAGGGAAAGGTGATAAATTTACCTGCACCTGTGGACATCGGATTGTGAACAGGATATAGGTATATGGGAAAAAAGTAAGATTTTAGCCCTCGCTGTGTTGTCTCGGAGGAGACAAACCACACTTCGCGGTAAAATCTTGTACTTTTTTCCCTTGTATAATAAATAACAATTTTTCTGTGACGGGAAAAAAGTAGACTTTTTGTACCTGTTGACAGGGGCACAAATGTCACTTTTTCTCTCATGGGAAAAAAGTGATTTTTTTTCCCCGCGGGAAAAAAATAACAGGTACCTATCAGTCAAAAAAATTTCCCGAGGGAAAAAAGTAATAGGTACCAGTCAAATTTTTTTCTCAAAGGGGATAATGTATAGATGGAAATTGGTGAGATTTTCCCGTCACAGAAAAAAAATAGTGTATTATATTATCCGTTCACAATTCGATGTCCACAGATACAGGTAAAATTTATCACCTTCCAATGCTATTCAATAGGGAAAGGTGATAAATGTACCTGCACCTGTGGACATAGGATTGTGAACAGGATATACATATATGGGGAACAAGTACTAGATTTTAGCCCTCACTGTGTTGTCTCCCTCTGCTTCGCTTCGGGAGACAAACCACACCTCGCGCTAAAATCTCGTACTTTTTTCCCTTGTATAATAAATAACTATTTTTCTGTGACGGGAAAAAAGTAGACTTTTTGTATCTGTTGACAGGGGCAAAAATGTCACTTTTTTTCCCATGGGAAAAAAGTAACCGGCACCAGTCAAAAAATTTTCTCAAGGGAAAAAAGTAACAGGTAGCAGTCAAATTTTTTTCTCAAACAAAATAATGTATAGATGGAAACTGGTGAGATTTTCCCTTCACAGAAAAAAATAATATATTATATTATCCGTTCACAATCTGATGTCCACAGATACAGGTAAAATTGTGATAAATTTACCTACACCTGTGAACATCGGATTGTGAACAGGATATATATGGGAAAAAAGTAAGATTTTAGCGCGAGACAACACAGCGAGTGACGGCAAAAAAGTAGACTTTTTGTACCTGTTGACAGCGGCAAAAATGTCACTTTTTCTCCCACAGAAAAAAAGTGATATTTTTTTTCCTGCGGGAAAAAAATAACAGGTACCAGTCAAATTTTTATCTCAAAGGGAAAAAAGTATAAATACTGTCACAGAAAAAAAAATGTATAAATGGAAAATTGTGAGATTTTCTCGTCACAGGAAAAAATAGTATATTATAGACGGAAAAAATTAAGATTTTAGCCCTCCCTGTGTTGTCTTCCTTCGCTTTAACTATTATTTTAAAAAAAGTAAGTTTTCACTTTTCCAGCACAGAGCTTGCTCTCCCGGTTTCCGTTTGAATAAGGCGTTTTCAGTTAAACTATACAGAGGCGGAACATTTTGATAATATCTCAATTTCTAGGAAAAAGAAATGAGAAAACACAATTTGTGAAATAAAACGAGTCAATGGTTGAATAAGTCAAATATTGGAAAAATTAAACTGGGATTCACGGAACTTTTCTTTTGAAATGCATGGAACAAAACGAGGCTGTACCTATATAAACAAAATAGAAATAAAAACTGTTCAACCAGTTAAAAAAAAAAAACCTGTTTTCTTTGTTGTGCTTTTTTTTCTCCTTCAGTGGATTTCATTTATCAGGTTTCCAGAAGATTCAATTATTAGGACACATATTTCAAAAACAATAAAAATATAATTAGAGAGAAGAAAATTTATTCCATCAATTTTATCACAATTGGGTATTTCTGGCCTCTTGTAATCTCCAGCTCCATTATACAGTCCAGTGCAATACATTTTGCGTGAAGAGTCCTAAGGATCTATTAGGAAAAAGTAATTTTCAGTGAAAAATAAAAAAATCAAGTTCAATTGTCTCACCTTTAAAACTTCACCAGAAGCCCCTTTTTCGTTTTTCAAAACCATTTCTCTCAATTTCGCCAACTGTTCAGGTTTAGTATTTGCAAAACCCGTAACTACATCAGAATGTAGTTCCACTGTAAGATCTCCTGTACCGTCAACGACATTTATAGCCAAATAATAACTGGTTTCTGTAGTTTGTAGCCTTTCAGCGACCTTATTGAACTTAGCTTTGATTTTAAACTTGCCTTTAGTTATATTTGGTATTATTTGTTTAAGTTTTGTTATTGTCATTATGTTGATTTTTGGAATTGCTACACTAGTATTTGTATGTTGGGGTTCTTTAAAAGTTAGCGTTTCAGGAGAAGGTAAATTTGCAGGTTTTTTAAACGATGGTCCTGCAATATCAGGGGACTTGCTTTCACTTGAAGGTCTTTTTTGTGCATTCTTACTAAATATACTAAAAGGCTCTTCATCACTATTGCCTTTTTTATTAAGATTCCCAAAAGTTAATTTACTTTGAGCTAGTTTTTTTGGTGCAGCTGGTTTAGTTATTTTTTGTTTCAATATTGGGCTCTTAATTCTATTTTTAATTTCCACAACTTTTTGAGTACTGCAAGGCATTCCAGCCATTTCATTATCAATATTATCTAAATGCGAATCAATATCTATTTCATCAAAGCTATCGTCTAATGTAATTATTTCAGATCGATGAGAATTTTGCCCAGTATCTCTTAAATTTTTAGAACTAGTCGAAGGTAAACTACTACTAGGTTGATCCGATTTAGGAATGGACAAATCTATATCCATTTGATCCAAATGTTCATTCAGTAAATCATCATCAATATGCATTTCTTCAAATAAATCGGGAGAAGAAGTACGATTTGTAGTTTTAGAATTACTAGGAATATTGGTAATAGAATTTTCTTCAAAATCTTCTTCAAGCTCCCTTAACCAATCATTGTTCATTTCAAATTCTGGAGGAATTTGGTTGGTTCTCGATTGTGTTGGTTGGTTTAATGTAACATTTGTATTAATTCTTTGTTGATTCAATGTGACATTTGTATTATTTCTTTGTTGAGTTATTGTGGCATTCAACTGTGTATTTGAATTATTAGCTGCAAATATAAAAATTTATAAATTATATTTATAATAATTTTATAATCCTTACATTCAACAACCTCTAAAATTTTCTCATCAAACGTATGGGGATTGGGATTTTCTTCTAATCTTAAGGCTCTAGCTAAAACATTTTCTGCAGCATTTTTTATCAGTAGTTCATCAACGGAACCTCCTAAATTTTTTACATTTTGTTGTTCTAACATTAATCGGCCTCTTCTAACTTTAAGTGGACCGATAATTTTGAGTTTTGAACCAGGTTGATTATTTATACTTAAACATGGACAAGGTTTGAATTCCATTGCTTCTACTTCTTGTACTCCATCAGTGAGAGTCAGTTGTAAAACCTAAAGGATCTTGGTCTTATTTCCACCTTGGTATGTATTATCACAATGCAATTCTTACCCGTTTTCCAAAATCTTTTTCTACTTCAGTATTTTTACCGACTTTATTTCTAATTCTTTGCAGTTGCCATAATTTCGGCTTTGAAATGTCTATTATTTGCATTATTTGAACATAGAAAACTCCATTTAATAAATATGATATCTCTGCTGAGAGGTTCCTTGGTAGAGAGGCAATTTCAACTTCTCTCAAATCTATAAAAAGATTTGATTGAAAAAGTGTAAGTAAACCACTCATAGAAAATCTTGAACTTAAAGTGGAAATATTAAAAGTTCTTAGGCAAATTCGAACCAGAAATTTATGGACATTCCTTTAGGCTAGTATGTTTAAGCATGAATAATACTTACCTAATATCAACCATTGTTCATAAACCATATTCTGTAATGCTTTAATTGTATAATTAGCAGGCAAATTATCGCTTCTACACCATTCGATACAACTTTCCAGCCATACCATGTTGAGAGGAATTTGGTAATTAACAAAAATCTGTTTTACTTGTTCCAATTCCGAGGACATGATGTACCATTGAAACAAAGTATTGGAACAAAAAGAGAATTACTTTTAAAGCAAATTAATAAACACAAAATCAAAGGTTTAATATGTTTTAAAACAAGAAAAAAAAAAAAAACAAATCAGTTAAAAATTTAAGGTTAGGAAATAAGGCGGGCGGGAGTGATTTAAATTTAAAAGATCGACTGGTTCTTCGACTTCTTGCACTCTACGTACTCCATAGACACTCCGATCGGGTGAGTACGATGGTTAGCGTGAATAGAGTATAACTGAGTTCACGTTCTGCTATACAAAGTCGAGTAAATAGAGCTCACTCTAAAAGTGCCACCCCAGAACCGCTTTCCGTACGTATAGCTCGCGAGCTCAACGCTCCGAGTAGCTCCGGGCGTCACATTCCCATACTGGAAAGCAGCTCTGTTTGAAGAGATACCTAAATGTTAAATGCGAAAGTTGTAGGTAATCAAGGATCATACACAGTACTAAGGATTGCTTATCGGTCTCGTTTTTGGTAATCGCCGCCATATTGACATTTATATTAATTAACATAATGGGCAAATAGGAACCACGGATATGGGAAGATGCAAACGAGATCTGAAAAATAGTTGTTAGAATGTTAATTAAATGTAGTGAAACCAAGTATGCATAAAGCAAAAGCCTGCGGAATCATAACCTTTGGTGCAAAAAGCTTACGTCAAGGCGAGAAACGACATGCTGCTATGTCACCACTGGTGATTTGGTGTGGTGAGAGGCTTCAGATTTGCTCCACACAGGCCTTATGAAAATAGGCTATCTTGTGGTGGTAATGTGTGTAGTCCTTGAGGTAGGTTTGGGTGCAAAATATATGAATGTACCCATAGACAATCACCCAGTACACCAAACTTACCTACTCCTACCATTTAACGAACGCCACAGTGTCAATTAGTGTAAAAAAATTCAGTTGCTGTCCCAGTAGGTTCCTATATTTAGATTTCGTTTATTCTTTTCGTTATGAGAAAATCCAAAAGCCAATCATAAAATTTCAAATTCCGACCTCTAGGGGCAGACGCAGGTAAGGAACTCTCAAGGATGATAAACACCTACGATTGCTTATCGGCCTCGTTTTTGGTAATCGCCGCTATATTGGTGTGTTATCATTTCCGACGTCATAACTAAGTCGTCAGCTGTTTAAACAGCCTTCGTCAAGGCGAGAAATAACATGCTGCCTACGTCACAACTGGTAATTTGGCTTGGGAGGGTGGGGATAGTGGGGGAATTTGTTACACACAGGCCTTTATAAGGATGGGCCATCCTGTAGTAGTAGAGAGTATCATCCTTGCATACTGCCTACGTCACAACTGGTGATTTGGCTAAGTTTGGGGGGGAGAAGGGGGCATTTGTTCTACACAGGCCTTGAGGATAGGTCATCCGGTCATCCTGTAGTAGTAGTGTATATCATCCTTGAGGAACTCTGCCCTTGGAGCAAAATAATGGTGAGGTCAAAGTTCATTGAATCAAAATGATGTCCCTAAAATAGAATTCTATTTATCGTGATTCAGGCCCTTTTGATTTTTTTTTGTATACAGGGTGTCCCACGAGGCTTTTCCCAAATGATAACCTCGGAAAGCATCATCGTATCTTCCACTGTATAATTTCTTAACATTTTCTTTAACAAAGCCTTAACAAATATGGCAGTGCCAATTTTGTAATTTAATTTTATAACGAAAAATGTCATGATATCAAGGTTGTTTGAGAGAGGTACGCTGCCTGATAACTTTATGACGTCATCTGGGGTGCCTCAACATAATCTCCATAAGACACCCCAGACGCGTCATCAAGCTATACCCATTACCAGGCAACCTATTACCTTTAGGAACCTTGCCATGATATACCATAAAATTATGTACATTCAAGATTCGAAAGTCGATTTCACTTGACCGAAATTCAAGCAAATGTGGTGAAATTGGATGGCAAAGGTAGAAGCAGCGGAAAAAGTTAGCCCAGATCCAAAGCTCGCGTTCTGAAGTTATTACCTGGGAAAAACGTCGTGGCACACCCTGTATATCAAAGAATAAAGAAAATTTAAAAGTTCAAAAGAAACAAATAATGGAGTCTTTTTTCCACAATTTTGAAGTGAAAATTTCTTCAAGCGCGTTCATCACACTTTTTTCTGGCTACCTAATAAAACTGAGCCGTCACGCTCTAAGTTGTAACGCGCATTCGGGTAAAGTTAGCTTGAGAGTCGACTTCAGTCAATCAAAGGAAACAGTCATTACATTTTATTTAGGGCCAGTCTATTTACCTTCTGATAAACTGCCAGGCAATGCAATCTGACGGATAAAACGCAATCTGCAATCACATTGTTATCCGTTGACCAATCGGTAAATTTATCTTGCAGATGCAGATAGTTATCAGTAAATTTATCTGGAGATGAATAAACCGGGCCTAAGTGAAGAAAATTCAAGAATCTGGAAAGCAAAAAACTATTTCCCACTTCATTATAGTCAGGTGTTGGGAAAAAAAAATAAAAATTACAAACGCAAAATATACTTTATTATAAATAATATATTATTATTTTAATGAAAGTACAATCGAAATATTATTTTACTAATCTAATAAAAGTCAGAGCCAACTTGAAAAACAAGATCTAACAATTATTCTGTTGTCAGAATGATCTCTGTCACATAAAATAGCTCTACTGAAACACCTAGAATATAATTATATATAAAGTGCTTAGCCTTGTATAATAAAAAGAAATTGCTTATATTTTCACCAAAATTGATACATAAATAATACGTAATAAACTACATAATAATCATATAATATTCAAAAAAAAAATAATAAAAACAGAAAACTTCTATAGTCCTATGACATAAGTTGATACACTTTTGCAGTGTATGTCCAATATAAAAAAAAATTAATGAAAATATAAGCTCAACATTCATAACTGACCAATATAAAAGATATGAAGCCTTTTAATTTTATTTTTTGTTTATGTACAAAAGGTGTACATACATGATAACAATTATAATGTACAAAATTTGGAACTGTTCTAGTTTTACCTATCATTGAATGGGCAAGGTTATCAAAAACTATAGCTAAAAAATTAAATATGCAGTTATTGCACAACCTGGATCCACCTAATAATCAATTTTTACAATAAATTGCCTAATCTCACAATTTTGTTAAACATAACCCGGCCCATAGTACACCATCCATCCGTCTGTATCTCTACCCGAAAATGTACAAAAAAATAATTATTTACACTAAAAACTTACATAATACATAGTTCTCTTTTCTCACATCTCAGTCAAATCACGCGTGTTTATTGTCCGAACTCGAACTTGCCGAATCGTCATCGGGCCCCTTAAGATCGCTAAGGGTCGCAACTATGGGCGGTTGTAAGGGGATATCGTCGGAATTTTCGCTGGTGATCGATAAAGTTTCAGGTTCCGGCATCGAAGATATGTCGCTCGAAATTTCTTCTTCTCTTTGCCCGTCGAATTCGAACATGTCCGGCGGCGGTTCGCTTAGGGAACTACACATTTTTCCGCCAAAAACGGCCAGACCTCGGTCCATGCAGCGTTTACTAGACCAAAATTGGATGTTTGAAAATAAGGTCTTAGATCACTCAACCGTACTAGTTGGATTAGATCAGTATGCCTAATAAGAACCTTTTAATGAAGCTACTATTGTATTTATTTAGGAGTTTTTAAATTGGGATTTTTAGCGCAATTTTTCACGGATAAGTGGAGTCATAGTAGATACCCAACACTACAAGTTCCAACAAAATGTTCCTGTTTAGTAGACACTTGAAAATTGAGTATTTTGGCTATAAAATTATTAATTACAATTTATTGAAAATATGTCACTTTTCATCCGTAAGCTTTTTCTTCTTGTTAATTTTGTTGTGTTTGGCACAAGAGTTGTTTGGCCAGAGCATGAAAAAGGTCTGATTTTAATATTTTTCTTTGACTTTAGTACATCTTTAGGACAGGTTCCTTCATTCCCGGATATTTTTTATTCCTCTGCCGCATTTTTCATCCTCAGAATAACTTTACCAGTCAGTTAAAGGTCTATTAATTTATAGAATATGTTAACTGGCCAAATAACTTTTACCTGATAATTATCTACGAATGTTTTTCAAAATAAAATTATTATTTTAGACAATACATATGAGAACGGATCGATCATTTCAGTAATTAGAATGATTTCGAAGATTTCCAAAAGTTTTGTAGAACTTTTAAATTCATCAAGAGTCTCACTTAATGTCTTTTTTTTTTCACTTCACGTATTTTAATTGCCTACTACAGAAATGTCTAACACAATCGCAATGTTACATTATCATGCCATCTTTTTTTATGTCATGAATGATGAAGATATTTCCTAAATTGGTCTATAGGGGGTAAAATGAAAAATAAAAGAGTTACAAAAGATTTACTGGTCTCAGAAAATACTGGAGACCACTATGCGCTTAGCAATAAAACACTTTCCATTTCAGTATATAATACATATATTATTCCTTATAAATCAAAAAAAAAAAACAAAAATAACAAATTATTGATATCCATAGGACATCCAAAATATAATTTTCAAGATGACGTATTTTTGTTGGAATCTTGCGAATTCCGGCATCTGCTATGACCTTTTTTCTAGGCACCCTCAAACACTTGGCCGATCCATTTTTCAGATACTACTTTACTAGACTACCCTATTATAGATTACCTTGTCGATTTTCCGGGTTCGCTTGCCTGTCTATCAACTATAACGTCATCCTCGGTCATATTAAACATAGCCCCAATGAATTCATTGAAAGCACTAGTTTTAACAACTTCTTCTCGAGTGGACTCTATAGCGTCCGAAAGCAGTGGCATCGAACCGAAGCCTGAACTAAAACTTGTTGATACAACGCACAAGTCTTTGCTCACTGTCATTTGGTCCGATGAAGCACTGTTTCCACTCTAAAATAACACAGTTTTAAAATTAGACTATACTTTCTACAACATATTGCGTACCTCTACAGCATCTTCTGTCAACAGAGGCATGCTGCTACTAAAAGACTTCTGTATACCCGTGGAATCATCCAAAGTGGGTAAAGAATAGGAAAACGAAGGGCTGTTCATGCCAGTAACAGGTCCAACTTCGGAAATAGGTAGAGAGAGTTCCAAAAGACCCACAGCTTGCTGATGGGCCACCGTTTGAACGATATTGGGATCAGTAATGGTTATAGGTAAATCGACATTGGTAGGAACCTAAGTAACAAGAATAGAAAAATTGATTAATGGTGTCCCCAAAAACGCAGTTATTAATTCTTACCGTTTGTAAAATTTCAGCTTCATCATCAATTTTCTTATTATTATTACTGGGCAATTCCAATGGAGACATTATAGGCATGTTCAAAGTCAAACTGGTTTCTAAAACGTTGCCCGCGTTCATAGGATAAAGTCCCGGACCGCCTCCCGGGCTACTAGAGCCACCCGGTGGACTAACTTGCGCTCTAGATTTGAGAGGCGGTTCTAGAGTGGGCTGAAACACGTCAGTGTCGGCTAGGGCTGCCGCTAAAATATCTTGGTTGGGTCTATGTGTTGCAAACATTGGATTGCCACCGCCCTAAAAATTATATTTTAGTACTATTTTTTTTTTGGTGAAAATTTTTACCTCTGTAGATTCTACACAACCCAACGCGGCTTGTTGAGAGAAAGTAGAGGTCTTTATCAGCAGCTGTTGTCCGTCTGTTTGTACAATAACGCTACCACTCTCTGCATTAGCTAAAATACTTGCCAAATCTATGGAGCCATTTGAGAGAGATTCAATGAATTTTTGTGTAGCTATTTGGTTGCCTGTTATCATCAGTTGTTGGCCACCAGCATCTAAGGATTCATTACATATATTTTTGCAGAAAAAAAAAAGGATTATTTTTACCTCCTGGAAGCACCCCTTCACCTATAAGGACCTGTTGTTCAACGGTATTTGACGTTTCTTGTTGTACTAGCTGCTCAGCAGGAACAAGTGACTCATCATTTACGGTTGGTAACTGTTCTGAGTATTGCGCTTTTTGTTTTACAGGTGCGAGTTCTTGATTTGTTACAGGTGTCACTGCTCCTTCTATAGCTTTTTGTTGCAGATCAAACTTAAAATAAAAATAATTACTAGAATTTGGCCAAGAATTATTTATAACTAAACTTCTCTGCAAATAGAATACGAAAATGGTATAGAATACAAAAATGGTTAAGCAAACATTAAACAGCAACGCATCCGAGCTTGTGCTCAGAGAACCAATCACGGGAGAGATTATCTCTGATCCTCAGAAGACAGTTAACATATTTGCGGATCACTTTTTGAAGGTATACACCAGAGAAAACCTAGTAAATTTTCCATCGCTATTGCAGAATACTAGATCTATTCTATTCTATTCTAGAATCATTCACAACCACAGATGTCACTGAGGAAAAGGTTATTCAAGCAATCTCTACTCTGAAAAGAGAATCTAGTCCAAGCCCACATCAAATACTGGCAATATTTTTAATAAAATGTCAAAGGACGTTGGCTCCAGTGATAACCTGCCTCTTGTAGTCACTAAGCACTCAGAAAACTGTGACATCCCACCCACCCAACACGGATTTCTCCCCCAACGATCTACCACAACCAACCTACTCACCTGTATAAAATCATGGACGTTGGATGTACTGTAACTAGACTATGCAAAAGCATTTGACAAAGTGAGATTCAAGAAGTTATTATTATAACTACAAAACTTTGGAATCAGGGGTGAGCGCCTTGGATCGATAGGCAGTTTTCTACAAAACCGAACCTTTCAAGTGAGAGTAAATGGATATTATTTTGATGAATACAAGGTCCTTAGTGGGGTGCCACAGGAATCGATGTTGAGGCCACTGTTGTTTACCATACACATCAGCGATATTGATTCTCTTATAAAGAAAAACATTATTATTTATGCTGATGACACAAAAATATACTGCAATCCGTGCTTGGAGCCTCAGACGACCTGAAAACACTTGAGAAATGGATCAGCGAATAGCAGCTAACACTCAACTCCGACAATTGCACTTTACTGCACATTGACAATAACAATCCAAACATACCTTACAGCTTAAATGGCACTACCATGAGTCTGTCACTAATCAGAAAAATCGGGGTTTCATTATCTCAAATCACCTAAAATGGGAAGCCCATATTTCTTCAGTTGTCAAGAGGACAAACTCTTTTGTATATCTCATACAGAAAGCTTTTAGTGACAGATCTATCCCCATGATTAGCAAAATATATAAAACATATATCAGACCTAAATTGGAGTTCCTACATTCGGTTTGTAGCCCATACCTGGTTAAGGATATTGAGATCTTGGAAAGAGTCCAGCGTAGTGACAAAACTCCCCCCTGAAATCAGAAATCTCTCATACTATTGAGATACGACATAACAACCCTAAAAACTAGACGAGAGAGAGGGGACTTGATCGAGATGTACAAAATCTTTAATCATCATTATTCTCCAGATTTACAACTAGACATTTTCAGTCTTAATACTAACCACCAACTCCAAGGCCATACTAAGAAGCTGGATAAGGAGAGATGCTCGAAGCTGATCAGAAAGAATTTTCTAAGAAATAGGGTTGTCTATAAGTGGAACGCCCTTCAGGAAAGCACAGTCAGTACTCCTTCAAAGAACGCATTCAAAAACAGACTTGACCGGGACCTGTGGAGAAAGCTAGTGTGCATTAAATGTGACTCATAACAGTGAAGAAAAATATATAACAATACAGCAGTAGTCTCATCGGCGTTGCCACTTACTGCTGCTCAAACCTATAATAATAATTATAATAAAATAACAATGTTTTCACTAACCCCATCGAGAAGTTTACTTGCTGAAACAGTACCCTGGTCATGATCAACATCAAGTACTACATTATTGATGTCTGGCCCAAAAGCCAAGTTTGGATCCAGTGTTATTAGGGCATCATTATTCAATGGTTCTAAGGCACCGTTCTCATCCACTTTCACTAAAACATAAGTCTGGGGTTGGCCGTCCACCAAGTCGTTTGGAAAAGCTAAAATTTAATAAAATTGTTATCAAATCTTGAGCCTAGTAATTTTTTAACCCAACCTAGAATTTGTCCTACAGTGACTGTGGAAAGTTTACCAGAAGAATCTCGAAGTACCACATGCTGTGGGTCGAGGACTAATTCTTGTGACGCTTCAGTTCTAGGTACCGTCGTTTGCTGTCTCGCTTCTAGCGTTTTAGTGGATGGCAATTCCGTTTTTCGAGTCGTAGTAGGTTTGGCTGTAGGTAATACACGCGGTTGCGGAGATAGAGGCGCCAATGCTGGAACTATACCAGTGATTTCGGATGACTGTTGATTTTCCGCTTGCGTGACTGTGGAGGCAGGAATTTTTAATTTTTGCTCCACTTTTTTGGTAAATCTTCGTGCCACTTGTTTACCGGAGGTACTGGGAATACTACTACTAGGAGTTGTCCTATAAAAAAAATATTCAAAATAATTGAACTACACATAAACAAACGTCAAAGAATCCCATTTGCCAATATGACCCAAATAATAGCTGAGAACATTTCAGATATTATTTAAATGAAAAATGTGAAAATAGCTGCAGAAAAAAAAAAAATTGCAGTAATTTTTTTCACCTATTCAGATTACTAGTAGTCGCCTCTTGAGATCTGCGTGCATGCTCTCTAGCAACAGCCTTGATTGCTTCTAATTGTTCTGCAACTTGCCTGTCTAGATCCTCATTGTTGAGACCATGTATTCTCTTAACCTATAATAAAAATAAATAATTTTATTTGTTAAATAAATCTAATGATAAACAATAATAGTATATTACGAATCAAGAACAATAACATTCATTTACTACTTATGATTAGCTCTCATTCTTACCGTTTCTCCCATTTGATTCTTAATTAGAACAGTTTTTTGAGTTTTAGCTCTTGGGTTGACCTTTTTCGTTGTAGGAGTAGCTTTGACCGGCATAAGCAAGCCTGCTTGGCTGGTAACTGCCAGATTTGACACAGTTTTCGGTACTATTACCCCACTTGGTCCTGCAGTTACAGATGCTGAAGTTGCAGAGTCTAGAAGGGCCTTAGGAATGGCACCCTTGATAATGGTTTTTTTGACTCCACCCTGAGTTTGCATCCAAGCAATTTGTTGTTGAGGGGTCAGCATCGTCCTAGTTTGCTGACCCTGCGAGTTGGTTACAATCATGATTTTGTTGCCAACTATCTGATCTTGGGCAGGAGCTACACTAGAGGCCGCATTTTTTTGCTGAATGGGGGTTTGTTTTTTGATTATCGCCTTTGGAATTGTTTGCATCTGAAATATCAATATTGATTAGGAAAACATGTTTAGCAAAAAAACATCAAATACATACTCGCGAGGGTAGAGCTGATACAGTTCCGGCCGGTGGGACTAAAACATATTTAGCTTGTTTACCATCTGGAGTGGTACAAGTGGCAAATAGAGCAGGAGTGCCAGCTTTGGTGATTCTAGACTGTAGAGATGCATTTTGCAATAGTTTCGTTTTCGTAACCGTTTTACCGGTCATAGAATTAGAAGTACCAGCCATAGGTTGAGTAGTTTTGAAAATTATCTAGAGAAAATATAACCTTTACTCAGTAGTAGATATTAAGTGCAAAAAAAAAACAGAATGTCCTACTCATTTATAGAATAATTAAAATTAAAGGAGACTTGAGAAATGTAAGGTAAAGAGAACCCAGTTAAAATTACCTGTTTTCCTCCGCCTGGCACTAGTTTTTTTGATAAAGCAGCCATAAGTTTATCCTGATGTTGTGTTACAGGTGTAGCAACAGGCTTCACACCGGTTTGAGGTAAAATATCCTCAGATAGGATCACAGGCATATTTTGAATACACTCTGGAGTAAGATCCTCAGATAAAACTACTGGCATATTGCTTATGTCAAACATGGAGGCGTCTTGAATAGTTTGAGTTGGTTGTTGGAACTGTTTTGAAGTGGTGGCTGCGCCAGTTTGAGGGACGACTTCACTTTTTGGCTTAATAATGGCCGGCTTGGGTTTTATAGGCTTTGTCGCTCTAGCAGGTTTTTCGTGCAATTTAGACGCAATTGCAATTTCTGTCTCCGTTTTTTTCGAAATTTTTGGAATAATAAAAGCTGTTTCCACGTCTTCAATGTCTTCATATTGTCTTTTGTTACCTTGAGGTAGAACTGTTGTGGGTGTAGTAGCAGTTGCCGGCCTAAAAATTACACAAGATCTAAACAACTAATGTTTAAGAGATAAGCAATGCTAAGTTATATCAAATGTAAAATACATAAATAAATAAATGAAAAAATTGCCTTCTTACCTTAAAATTTGCTCTGATAATATTATAGGTTTGCTACCGACCATTTTTGGTTTTGCAATCCCACCAGATTTTCCAGTTTTAATAAAAATATTCTGACCTGTTTTAGGAACATCTGTAGGTTTCACAAGTTTGGGCATTACCAGTTTTTTGTGGACTTTAACGTCGCTTTGAACCATAACTTTCTGATTTTGTGTCTAGAGATGAAAAATTCAAATTACACAAAAAAAAAAGCTACACTTATTATTACTTCATAATCAATATTTTAATATTTATCTGGACTAAATTACCTTCAATAATAAAGTAAAAATATCTCAATTACTTACTTTTGATCCAGTAGTCATAGAAAGTCTCTCTAACAATCTCGGAGAATCGAGTAGAACATTATCATTGTCCCTATTGGTCAATACAATTTCAGATTTCGGAATATCATCCTCAAAGTCAATATTTCCTACCACTGTATTTGTAGTGTCATAATTGTCGAATGATGTCTTGAACTTTTGTTCTGATCCACTGGAGTTTGTAGAAGAGTTCGAATTCCCTTCCAAAATGTCCAAGAGATCGGATTTTCGTTTGGGAGCTTGTGACCGAAACGGCTGAGGATCAAATTCTTTGAGCATTGCTTTAGATGGGAATTTTGTGCCAGAACCTTCGCCAATCTTTTTCTTAGAGCTTCCGCCAATTTTTTTGCCACTAATGATATTTTTTAGGGTCGTTTCCAAAGACATAGGTGGGGTCTTTTTGCTTATAACTTCAGTTGTGGTAATTTCTACCTGGGTGTCGGCCAAATCTGTTTCTGTCATAACTGTGGGTGTGACGGATATTGGGACCAATTCAGCCTCATTCAGCATTGGAGGAACAATAATTTCTTCTTTGTTTATATCAATTAAAGCTTGGCTTTTGGTCGTTGAAGCTATGCCTGGCAAATTTGAGCCTAGCTCTATTTCACATTCAGATTTATTGAGCTCTGCTGAGAAGTCAGTTTCATTTTTTTTCTCTTTTTTAACTGTACCCGTTTCACAGGAAGACGACTTTCTCTTTTTTCTATTAGTCGCTATATTTAAAAATTCATCTACATTTATTTCATTCTTTCTAACATCTACATTAGTTTTAGATTGTTCAAGTTCTTCTTGTTGATACAGAAAACTTTTCTTTTTGGCTAAAGGAGACATCAATGGAAGTTCTGTGGCTGACTTTTCAATAACTTGACTGTTTTCAAAAATTTTTTGCATTTTTTTCTTTGGAGATTGTGGCATGTTCCCTACCGCTTTTTCAATAATTGAATCTTCAATCTTCTTCTTTTTTGGCGGAACACATTTAGCGACATCTGCTGACGCTGGTTCAGAACTGGTAGATGCAGTAGTATCAAATTTATTAATAATACCTTCGATGTTATTTCTCAAAGACGTGGACATAAACGAATCATCAAAATTGGGAAAACTCATATCAACATCAGACTTATTTTCAGGTGAAAAGCTAGATTGTAGGAAACTAGCTTCACTAATCCTTTTTGCCTTCTTTGGGGGCAAAATTATTTCACTATCCAGTGTGGTGGTCTCTTGGGGTGGTTGTTCAGTCTTTTCGCTAATAGTAAACTCAAAGGGATCTGATTTAATTTTATCACTAATTTCTTCAATGTCAGACTCTTTTTTAGCACGACTGTTACGTCTTGGCCATTTTTTCTTTGGAGGGACTGATTTTAATTTTTGTTCAGTTACTTTTGAGGAAATATCCTCTGTTTGGAAATATTTTTTAGATCTTTCTCGGTTTTCTAAAATAACAGAGGCTGCTGCTAATGTAGCCAGTGAAGAAGAACCTTTAAGTCCTAAATCTGCTGTGTTAAGCATAAATGATTCGTCCTCTAAATATGTTTCGCTAGTTTTGGCCAATTTGCCTTTGCAGGACCAGTCTCTAGGCGTAACAACTGATTCTTCTTTACTTTGGAATAATTGTTCCACTGTGTCTGAAATTACTTGCTCTACAGTTTGCATTCTTGTTTCTGAAACTTCGGGTATTGTAGTTTTCATAGTTTCTTGCTCTATTGATTCTATACGAGTCTCGGATTTCTCCTTTTTTATATTTTGTTGGATTTTGGGTGATTCTACTGGACGTTGCTCTACAGTTTGCGTATCTAATTTTGACGTTTCAGGTGCTATAGCTTGTTTAATTTCTTGCCCTATAAACTCTTCAGAAGTTTCAATTTTCTGCTCTTCTTTTTTTTTAAGTATTTCTAGAGCTGTAATTTCAGGTTCCATTGCTTGCACAATTTCAATTCTACTTTCTTCCTGGAGCGAACATATTTTGAGAGTGTCAGTATTAAATTCTGAACTTTCAGATTCAATAGCCTGAATAATTTCTTGCTCTGTGGTTTTTAAAGGAGTTTCAACTTTCTTCTCTTCTGTTTTTGGTTGGGCTTCAATTACATCTTCTTGAAGTTGGAGTTTCTCTACAATTTCAGTATTTGGTTCTATAACTGCAGGTTCTGTAGCAGGCATAATTTCTTGCTCTATGGATTCTATAGATGTTTCAATTTTTTCACTTTCTGTTTTGTGTTCAGTCTCTACCACACTTTCTCCACAAGGCTGCAGTTCTTTTAAAGTTTGAGTCTTGGACTCGGGTTCTGAAGCTTGCATAATTTCTTGGTTAAGGAGTTCTGCAGAAGCTTCAGTTTTCTTATTTTCTATTTTGTGTTGAGCTTCTACAAAATCTTCTATATTAACTTGAGGTTTCTCTACAGATTTCGTATTCAATTCTGAGGCTGTAACTTCTGTGGTAGCCAGAATAACTTGGTTTAAGGACTCTGCATCAGTTTCAATGATCTCAGTTTCCACATCTTGTTGCGCTTCTATTAAATCTAGTCCAAGGCACCCAACAGTTTGGGTATTTGATTTTACAAATTCAGATCCTGTAACTTCCATAATTTCTAGCTTTTTAGATTCCTCAGCATTTTCAATTCTTTGTTGAGCATCTTCGAAATCTTTTTGGTCAACTTGGGGTTTCTCTACAGATTCAGGATTGAATTCTGAAGTTGTAACTTCTGTGGTAGCTTGAATAATTTGCTCTATGGATTCTGAATCAGTTTCATTTTTCTCCTTTTGTATTTCTTTTTGAGCTTCCACAAAATTGCCTACACTTTGGGTATGCGATTCTAAATGTTCAAGATCAGAAGCCTGCATAATTTCTTGCTTTGTGGATTTTACATCAGTTTCTTGTTGAGCTTCTATAGCTCCTATTGCGCCTTCCATAACTTCACAAACTACTGGAGTCTCAGGCACATTTCCAATTATAACTTCCTGAGTCAAATCTGCTTTAGAAGGTAAGGCATCATTATTTGGATTTTCCACAGTAATTTCTAGTTTTTCTGCTGATATTTCAATAGCAGGTTGGTCAACTAATTTGGCTACAGATACAGATAGAGCTTCCTGTTCATTTTTCGCTTCTGATTGACAGACAGAAGATACAACTACAGTTTCGGTGTCACAATCTGGTACAATGGCATCTGGGGCTTCACATAAAGAATTGGCTACAAGTTCTAAACATTGATTATCTTGTGCAGGCAAAGGGACATTCTGAAGACCAGTTGCTAATATTTGTGAAACTGAATCCTCAATATCGTTTAATTTATTTTCCTCTGAACTACTTTTTCTTCTGTAACTTGTTTTTCTAGATTTGTGCTTTTTATGACTCTTTACAGGTGTTTCTTCAACTGGTTTTATTGGTTTGGGCTCTGGAGGCAAAGGAATATCTGCAAGTAATTCTGGTTCAATAATAGATACAATTGTTTCTTCCACGACTTCTTGTGGTGGTTCTGTTACCACAGTTTCAAAAGAAACAATATTCTGAGCATCTAAAATAGTTATATCTGAAGTAAAAGAATCTTCTTCAGATCGTACATTAGAAATTTCATCAAGAGTATTCTCTTGAATTATTGCAGGTAGTTCAGTCATTGTACCAACAGGTAATTCTTTTGAAATATCTTCATTAGTATCAGCTATTGGCTCTTTAGCAGGAGAAACGACGTCCCATCTAGTTCTGGATCTTCCTGCTCGACCCTTTGGTGACTGTCCATAATGTTTCTCAATAACAACGCCTGATGTTTTGGGGCTTAAAAGTTTACTTTTTTCATCAACTGTTATGAAATTTGATGGTTCAGCCTTGTGAACTTCGGGTCTATATACATCTGCTGTTGAGTGAGGGAGACTTTTAGCAGGAACTGCTGGCAAACATTCTTTTGATACATGTGATGATACTCTTTTAGAAGAACGCAATCTTCGTCCTCCATCATTTAGTAAAGTAAAATTGTGTTCAGCATCATCATGGGTTGGTTCCCATTTATCTTTGTTTGATTTGTGAGAAGATAAAGCTAGATCTTCTTTAGTTTTTAAAATATCAATATCACTATTTGGCAAAGGTATAGATGAAATGTCAATATCAGTGATTGTTCCATGTAATTCTACACACTTTGGAGCCTCTGCAGTTTCAATAGTTTCTCCATAAAGTTCTGAGGACTTGGCACATTCACTAAGGAAGTTTAGCTCTTCAATGGCTTTTTCTATATCAGTTTTCTCAATTTCCTGTTTATTTTGACTTCTTTGATCAACATCCATAGCATCTGCTACAATTTCAATGCTTGCTTCGGGAATTGACTCCTCTGATTTTTGTAAAGTCTCTGATGATGTATAAATGATTTGATTTCCAAATAAATTTTCAAGTTGCTGATTTTCTACTACTGTTTGTGAAGAAATTTCAGGTTCTATCAAACTTGCTTCTGTTAAAACTTCTGCGGGTTTGGCATCAATACAAACAACAGATGTGTCTTTCATAGATGAAGTTTTATCCCCAGAATTATATTTTGACTTATGATGCCCCCTTCTAGGTAATTTTTCAATTGAAACAGGTTCAATTATTGTACTGTGAATAACTTTTGAAAGCAATCTTACACTTTCTGCTGGCTGGATGGGTTCACTTTTGGCATCTATATTTTCTGCTGATTTTACCTCTTTTTCAACACGAGAATGTTTTTGAGATTTATTCGGTTTCATTACTGATATTTGTTTTTCAGTTTCACATACTGGTTCAGCAGAAATTGCAGACTCTTCTGATTTGTTTTTATGAGATTTTGGTGACAATTTTTCTCCATATGATTTTGTAATTCTTTTGCTGGTTGATGATGGTGTGTCTGAGGTAGCTTTTTTAGCTACATCTTTAATTTTTTCTGGAATTTGATTAACTTGCTGCAGCGATTTACTTTTTTTTGTAGCTGATCCTAGTACTATCTTGGTCGGTATGTCATCATTTTTAGTATCTGAAATATATATTTCAGATTTGTGGCTTCTATATTTACTTTTTCCTGGTGTGGTAGCTGGTACACTAAGAACTTCTTGCACTACAATATCCTCAGTTGCATGCCTTGTGTCGTGCCTTCTTTTTTCCACCTCAGGCACTTCAGATTTGTATTTCCTTATTCTGTAGTGCGACCTTTTTTTCAGAGATATGTCTACAATATCCTCAACAATGTCGTTAGTGGCTTTCACTAGTTTTTCTTCTAGTTGCGCAGCATCTTCACAAAACAAAGGCTTTCGGGTATCAGACACTGGGCTTTTTTCAGACTCGTGAACAATTTCTTTATTAGGATTTTCATTATTTGAGTCTAATTTGGGAAGTTCTTTAGCTTGGTTATCAAGACTCTTGCTTGATCTACCCCTTCTCAAGGATTGATTTGATGAATCCTTATGAGATGATTTGATTGCTATCTCTTGTTTATGTAAATCACGAGCCATGGTATTCAATTCATCAGTTTGATTTTCATTTTTGTTTGACCTGATGATTTTTTGTTGTTCTTGGACTGGTTTTGAAACAGTAGGATTGCTATCTTCTTGATACTTCGCTATAATCTTGGATTCATCTCTACGATGCTTATTGGATTTCGTTTTTTTATGTATGCTCTCAAATTTACCAGTTTCTTTAGAGTCCATATTATTTTGTCTATTCTTATTTTGATCTCCGTTTTGTTCAGTATCACTTGCTCCTTCCAAGTCTCTTGTCAATTGTTCCAAAGAAATTTCTTGTTGGTTAATGATTTCTTTACAAGCTAAATTCTGTTCAGTTTCAAGAACTTTACTTATTGCCTCCATTTGGGCATCAAGAATTTCTTTGGTCTTACCCTCACTTTCAACAACAATCTCTAAATCTTCTATCCTTTCACTGCCATATGATGTAGTTGATTCAGTGGTGTATTTTTCAAGCTTCTGTTGTATGACCTTTAAAATTTATATCATTATGTGGTATATGTAAAATTAAATATAAATTGTACCTGTTTTTCAGTATCCTCTTCATCTTCCATCTTCTGAAAAATCTCAAAATCATTCAGCGATGTGACAACCATTTTCCTTGAGGTCCCTTTCATAGTATCTGTACCTCCTTTGTCAGGAAATTTTACGGCCCTGGCATCATGAAAATTTTGTTCGGGCTTCAAGGTTTGGCTCAAATCATCTATAGCAGGAACTTCAGTCACTTCCATGATTTCTTTAAAAGTGTTTGCTATTGAATCGTCAATGGCCAGGCCGCGGTTGAAACTTTGGCTGACTCGTAGGATTTCTTTTCTGTTCGGGTCCGGATCGGTTTCAGACGACTGTTCTGGATTTTCTGATTTTTCTAGAGGAAAATTAATATCTTAAAAATAGAATATTTAATTTTAAGATGTTCTTGAAGGATGTACAAGTTGTTAGGAATCATTTCCAAAACAATAAATGCCTGTTTGCTAGAATTTGTTGTTCAAAGTTCCTATATCTTAAAAACAAAATAACTAATACAAATTATCATTTTTTTATTCTAAAGCTGCTTTTGTACTCAAAGCAGAAACATAAATTTTGGGCATGTTAGAACTTTGCCTTTCTAAGGTTCAAAAGGAATAGGCAGCATCGCGGATTATTGAAACACAAGAATAAATCAACCTAAAGTTTATTAAATAATATACAATGGATTTTAATACTAAAAAATAGAAAAATTAAAATAATACTTTTTTTTTGTGTGTGTGGAAGTAGAAAACATAAAACATCATCAAATACAATAGAATCAGGGTTCTACTGTATTTTATGTATCATTTATTAAATTTATTACTATTGAAAAACTATTATTGTTATTATTACCTGTAGCCACTAGAGTTATTTCTTTTGCTAGTTCATCCTCCTTCTCACTTAGCTCTAAAAGATTTGTTTTACTAGCTTTAGGTTTTTCAGGTATAACTCTAGGGATTTTGCGGACTGGAGACAACAAACCAAAATCAACTTCATCATCATCGTCAAAATCAAAGCAGTTTTTGATATCATCTATGGTACTTTCGTGTGAACTTGTAGAAACCACAGTATGATTATTTGCTGCCTGATTGCCAACTTTTCCAGAAGAAGTTTCTATGAAACAATGTCAAATCAAAAGTTTTACTTCATGTAATATTTTTTTAAACAAACCTCCAACACTTGCTGCAATCTCATCCCCTGTCTCCTTTGCTTGATGATTTAATGATTCCTGGCATCGGTCATTGATCAAAGATTTGTTTCCTTCCACTTCCTCATCAGAATCATTCCACTCGTCCAACCAATTCTCAACACTTTGCTCGTTTGTCTGTTTCTTAACAAGTTTCTTCCTTTGCTTTGGCTTAGATGGTTTTGGTGCTGGCATTTCAGAATCTGATTCTACGAAATCATATTCAGATATTTTGGATTTGCGTTTGGCTGCTGCAAAAGAACCTGAATATTTTGTTTTTTGTTAGGTTTTTTTTAAAAAATTGTAATATAAGTAGCATTACCATCCAAATGTGTTTTGCAATGATTCAGAAAAACGCCTGTTCTCTTTGTCTGGTATGAACATGTGTCACAGGTCAAAATAGTTTGTGGGCCATCATAAAATTTCTGGATGTCCTCACTGTCACTATCTGGTTCCCGATCTTTGCCAGGAGACTGCCACATTATTGTAGCTGTGTAGTCGTCATTTCCAAGAAATCGGCGATGAGAGATTGTTGGCTGGTAGGTTTCCTTTTGAGATTCTGAAAAAGACAAATTTAGTACTTATTTTGAAAAAAAAATCAAATGTGATGATTACTTTTAGGGGTTGGCCTAGGAGTTCCAAATATTTCATCCAAATCAATCTTTTTAGGTGGTAAAAATTCAGACTGACTCAGGATGTTCGGATTTCCATTAGTCTTTTCCTCTGCAATTCCAATGTCTTTTGGAAATTTAGACATGTGAGTCTGTTTTCCTCTATATTTTGCTATGGTAAAAAGAAATTTGTTGGATAAAATTTAAAAAATAAAAACATTTTGTGTAATACTAACCCATGCCTTTTTTGATAAATTCACTTTTCCTTTCGCAATTGTAAGGATAGATGTTGGACCATTTATTGATGTATTCGCTGAAAATGTTGAAAACAAAAATATACAATCATCTACATTATGATTATGTTTGTATTGATGAAATCACCAGTACCTATTACAAACTCTACTTATCAGTTATAGGTACATTATAACCAAAACATTTATTTATTTTAATTATACACTGTAATCAATAGGCTTGAAAGTCATTGTTAAAACAATTTGCTCACTATAATATTATCAATTTATGAATAAATTGAATGGGTAAAGGAATTTGAATTATGTAGGTAGTATACCTAATCTACTACAAAATAATAATGCAATTTATAAATACATACAAATAAGTTATTTATTTATCAAAGAAATCTGTAGTTTGGAAATATACAGGGTGCCAATTTGAAAACTTCCCACACCTATTATCTCGGAGTAGAAAAATTTCCGAAAAAATCCCTGGAACACGTCAACTATAATTTGAAGGGGGATAAGTTTTTATGCAAAATTAACCTCCCCTCTTTCAACCCCCCAACCCCCAGAGCCACCGCATAGAAAATCTTAAATGGGAAGAGGGGTCAAGTGATACATCATTTTGCAGGGTTTTAATTCCATACATTTTGGTATCAAATTTCAATACCTAAGTTCAAAAAAATTTTTCTACTCCGAGATAATAGGAGTAGGAAATTTTCAAATTGACACTCTGTATAGTTTAATGTAGTTATTGTTATTAACAATGAGAAAATACAATAAAAGTTTCTATAGATTTTGATATCACAAGACTATGTTGATATCAGTATCAAAGCTATGTCAATGACCTTGGTTATTCATACTGAGGTGGATGTTCACATACTTTGTTTCTGATAGCAACTAAAAGTACATTGTACAACTGTTCTGAACAGTTCTAGAACTATTAGGTTGAGAAAATTTTTAATTATCTTCCTGTTGATATAAGACGTATCCAGAATGCTCCTAAATTTAAAGCGGAGACTAAGCGTTTACTTGTGCGGAAGGCTTATTATACTGTCTCTGAGTACTTTGAGGATCGGTTGTGAACTAATTAGCTATAAGTTGATATTTTAACATACCTTGTGCAGGTTTTATTAATTTTTAATTTTTGATAATTTTTAATTTTTATTTTTGTTACAGTTAGTGCTAGATGTATGTATGTATGTGTGTATGTATATTTATATATTGTTGATTTATGTACATACTTGAGTCTTATTTTATTATTGTATTACTGTGTTGTGTTAGTTTTATTATTGTAATTCTTAATTTTTATAGTTATTTATGATATAAGTGTTAAAAGTACATTTTTAAGGCACGCATGTGAAAGTTTGCAGAATGAGCGAAGCGAATTCTGCAATTCACATAAGTGCCTTAAAAATACTTTTAACACAAATATCATACAATATTTTTTCTACAAACGGCAATAACAAGCAATAACCAGTGACAAATTGAATTTTTAAATGAATAATAAATTGGAAGCATCTTTCCTACGTAAAATTATTGAATTTTATATTTGTCAAAAAATTCAAACAACCAGCACCTTGTTTTACAGGTAATGAAATGTCTCGTCAGTTTCTTGAAAGTCTGTCGTATGGTCTATCGTGGTCAGTAAGTTTTTTGCTAAAAATGCAACAAAATACACAAGAAAAAGAGGGTTGCATCAATCCCTTGAAAAATATAGAGAAGGCGGCCGATGGAGCTTCCTCAGTTGTTCAAATTTTACCATTAATATTAATGTAAATAATTAAAAATACAAACTTTTTTTGACGTTTGCTTTCAAATTTTGATGTTTCATTTTTAACACTAGTGCCTTAAAGACTTTTAACACTAGTGCAATAAAGTAACATTTTTAATCCTTCGAGGGGGTGTTAAAAATTGCATTTTTAACACGTTTGTAGAAAAAATATTTTAAGGTAGCTTTGTCAATGAATACTATATATTTTGGACAATAAAGCATGTTTTGATTTTTTTTGATTTTGAGATAGGGATCAACAATCGGAAGAATGCTATAGTGTAAAGTAGGGATGTACCGGAATTCCGGCGGTACCACTAAATCCGGCCGATCCGGCCTATAGCCCGGAACTACCGTTCCAGCCGGATTGCAACCGCGATCTGACCGGAATTTTCGAAAATTTTAAAATAGGTTAAATAATAAATTTATAAGCGGAAAGCAAGAAGGAACTTTATTAAAATTAAAGTTGTAGTAAACCATAACAATATTTTTTTTAAACATAAACGTTAAATTCAGGTATGGATTTGAAAAAACTTCCATACTTTTGACATTTTTAACTTAGTTGGATATACAGGAACACAAAACAACTGCAACTAGACTGGACTGAAAATCGTTTACGTTTTACATGCACAAGCGTTTGAGTCAGATGTCAGATAGACTCGGGGATTCCCCAATTCACTTGGAAGAAGCAGCCAGACTCAAACATAACCAAACTTAAGGCGCTTTCTTTTTTTCCATCGAGCTATTCTCCATTATGAGTAAGTCATCTTGATTTCCTATGTACTAGAAAGAGATAGACTGTAAAAAAAGAATGCGCCCTTTCAAATTATTATTAAATTGCAGAAAACTGTCGATCCGGCCGGAATTCCGGCGGTCCGGTCCGGCTATGAGCCGGATTCCCGTTCCGGCCGGATCGGCCAAATACCCGATCCAGAACATCCCTAGTGTAAAGTCAGTTGTTTTTAAGGGCCACTGAGGAAACGATGTCTGGCAAACTACAATCCATAAGTGTTTGCAACATGTAAATAACATAGGATGAAGCATAAGACATGAGATAAAAAGTTGACCTTATGGAAATCCCTTACTTATGTAGTTTATACACAAAATAAGGTAAGATAACATAAGAAATGTGGTTTAACTTCTATTTTTTATTTTATGTGAGAATAGATCTGCGCATGTTCCTTTGAGAATTTGTCATTGACATGACTCTTATGTGTTTGATCTTGATAGAGTGACAGAAAACATGGGATCCATTTCTTGCAGCTGATTGTTTCATTGTTTGTTATATTATGTTATGTGTTTGTATAAACCCAAGGTTTGTTTGAGAGAGGTTGCGTGATAACTGTATGATGTCATCTGGGGTGCCTCACCATAATGCAAATTTCTACAAGGCACCCCAGATGAGTCATCAAGTTACCCATTACCAGGCAACTTATTAACTTTAAGAACCTTTAAGAAACCCACCATTTGACTATTTTGATAGTTGGTAAATTTTTTGGTAATATGCATTGAAAGATGTAATGGGTGATTGTCTATATTTTGCACCCACACTTATCTCACCTGTGTGAAGCGAAGTTGTCGATATTTATTTATTTATTTATTTATTTAACTTTGTGTTGTTACTACTTTCTAGGATTTTAATTATTGATGTCGAATCTTGAAAAAAAAAAAATCGCATGAAAAGTGTCAGGTGTCAAGTAAAAGCAGTTAACAAAGATTTTGGGCGTAATCGACTTATTCACATGAAATAAAATTGTGTTTTTTCATTATAAAATGCCAGTAGAAAAAATCTTGTATACAATACGTTACGAAACGATGTCTTTTAGTCACTCAACGTGTTGTCCAACTTGGCTTTGCCTTGTTGGACAATTTTCACGTCGCGTGCCTAAAAGACGCTCATTTCGTAACTTATTGTATAAATAGCTATTTTATTGAAAATCATATACCGGGTGCCCACGAGATCAGTTTGCGGCTGCCATTTTTTTATTTGTCTATCAATATCAAGGAAACTTGGTAGGGTTGATATTCTAACCAAATGCCATTTTTATGCATTTATGACAAGTTTTCCTGACTTCACCGGAAATGAACGGAACTTTTGATTTTCAAATGGCACACCCTGCATATTTTTTGTTTTTCGGATTTTACAGATCGTTTTACGTCCTAATGCGCCACTCTTGTCCAAATTTTGTTTTTAAATTAAATTTTATTTTTTCAACTAGAGTGCCATGATCATCCTAAAATGACTCCACATACTTTACTTACTTAATTTCAGAAAAATACAAACTCAATTTCATCTTTGTAAACTTTTTTGATAGAGGGCTGTAAACTTCATTATTTTAGTATTTTTACCCCAGCTCAAAAACTAGAATAGAAACATATCACTTTCATAACATAACTAAATGCAGTATTTTAAAGTGAATCGAACGATATAATACACTACGACATTTTTCTTAATTTTCGTTCAAATATTTTTGTTTTATTATCTAGGTATTCATTCTTTTTTCTACTTAAAATTTAATTTCAAAACGAAATTTGGACAAAACTCGATTTAAAAGTGGTACATTAGGACGTAAAACGATCTGTAGAATCCAAAAAACAAAAAATATACAGGATGTACTATTTGAAAATCAAAAGTTTTGGTTATTTCTGGTGGAATCGGAAGTCCGGAAAGCTTGTCATAAATGCATAAAAATTGCGTTTTGTTAGAATATCAAGCCTACCAAGTTGCGTTGATATCGATAAACAAATAAAGAAATGGAAGCCGGAAAGTAATCTCGTAGGCATCCGGTTTTATAGAGACCACCAGCAAAACATAAAGGTAAGCATGTCACATAATCCATATTATTTCTTCAAAATGGAATATTCGGAGGCCGGACTATTAGGACTAAACCTTAAAAATCTAGTATATTTGGAATCAGGTCTGGAAAGCTAATCCAATAGGATAGGTCAATAATTTACAGGTAGTTCCATTTAAAAAAGTATAACTTTGCTTTGCTACACTTTTGTGACACACCCTGTATACTTGTAACTAACTTCATTGAACAACTTTCACAATTGACATTTCTCTGGGTATCTCTTCAAACAGGTGAGATAGATGTGGGTGCAAAATATAGACTGTTCATTTGTACTTGCTACCTGCTCGAAAAATCATGAAGATTTGCTATTTATGAGCTTATTACATGGGAGTTATGGAAAAAGTGATCACCGATCAGCTGCTGCAATCTACTTAAAGCAAGAAAAGCAGTACAAATGAACAGCCTAATAGACAATCACCTGGTACTTACATATAAAAAAAAAGGTCTGGCAGCTTACCTCTAGTCTAAAATAGGTCTGGCCCATACTATAAATTATTATCTAGATTTTTTAAAGAATAGTTTTCAACATATAGTATCATTTGGCAAACTTTTTTTGGTCCAAATGTGGTCTAGCGGCCGATCCATTCCTGGTCTACTTTTATGGTTCCAGGTTCTGGAACAGGTACTTTCATCTAGTAATGAGACTGTCCAAAAGACTTGTTTTTGTCTTTTGACACATTTGATCCAGACCCAGACCTAGTTTGGAGTTTAGGTGGGCTGCTAGACACCCAGACCATCTTTCTTAAACATTATTCAATGCCATAAGTACTATCAATAAAATTAATTTCTATTTTCAATAGAACTACCTATTTACAAAGCTGACATTTCTATCAACCTTGCTATCAACAAATTTTTTTCATTTTCTAAGGGTCGATTTATTCACCTTATAAACTCTCAGATATGCAATCTGACAGATAAAAACGCAATTGGTTGGCCAGTTATCCGCCGACCAAATGAATTATAGAAATGTAAATTAATCTTGCAGATAGTTAGCAGTAAGTTTATCCGAAGATGAATAAATTGGGCCTTAGTTATTTACCAATGGTCAATAAAGGGAATTTTCAGATAAGTCCATTTAAAAAAAGACAAACTATACTAAGTATACATAGATGTTTCTTCTTTCAATATAGCCTTTCCCCTAAAGTGTAAAAATTAGCTTATCAAATATTGTTCACTGGTAAGCTGTACTGCTTACCATTGAATGGCGCTATTCCGGTTAATATCCAAATTTTAAAAGTAAAATAACAATCTGAAAAACTTACTAAGAATCTTCATCGAAAAACTGTACTATGACCTTAGGGAGTTTTTTAAAGTCCAGTACCAAATCTCTGGATAAATCTTCTTCGGTTTTCACCTCGCCAGGCCACCAATAATTACTCAATTTCACCCAAACAATGTCCCCGCGCTTATAAACGGGGGGATCTCCTACGGAGTCACTAGTCTCATACATTCTGCGGCGATTTATGATTAAGGGAAGGAATTTAGCCTAAAAAAATACTGAATTTGAACATCATAATTGTCAGTGGAAAAAACAACAATGTAGTGTATTTGTTGTCTGGCCGATACTGGCTTCCATTGGGTTGGTTTGCGAATAAATACCTTATTTGTAGTGCTGGATCAAATCATCACACACTAAACTGTAGACTAAATGGCTGGAATCCTATTTATTGTAGTCTTTTCCAATAGTTTTCCAACCGAATGTTTATTTTCTGTGGAAAATGCGTAACTAACAAATACAATGCAACTTCCTTGCTACTTGTCAGTCAGGAGGGTCTTGATTTTCCCATGATCCTCCGGCTTACTTGGCGTCGCCACGTTGCCAACCCTAAAATTGTTTAAATAATTTCTAAAAGTTTATTTATAGGGTGAATTTTGATGTTCTATATAAATACTTATTATATAGATTTAAAATATTGTTTGTTTTATAACTCGGGCTCTATAAAATTGGGATAAGTGCCTTAATAAATTGAAAAAACTCACGTAAAAATTGGCGCACCTGACTGTCAGAAATGTCAATCTTACCACCACCTCCTGGCAATTTTGAAAATTAATTTTTTATTTTTATTTATTTCCATGTTCCCAGACTGTTAGGCGATTTCCATGTAAGGATTCATTAATTCGATTAAGAAAATACGCCTGGAACACTATTTGGCAATAGAGGCCTCCTGATTGTGATTTTCCTTTCAATTTAAAATATAAAATCTGTCATCTACCATTATACCAAAATGGCAGAAATTTTTGTTTTGCGCAAGTGCACGTGTCTTGCGCTTGCGCGGTACTTGAGATCTGACAATTAATTCGTATTCTTTTTACCCATTGAGCTACTCGGAACTCGTCAATGTCCAAAATTATTGAAGGTTCCTTTTAAAAGTGCGTTCAAGCACTCGAATTGCTCGTTTAGTGTACAGTGTACACTGCACAAAAATATACGTTCCCTTTGGAGTCAATCCGAGGAGCTCCAGAGCGACCCATTTGATGTAACTCGATTTACTACAGGATTGCTTATCGGCCTCGTTTTTGGTAATCGCGGATCAACCTTGATCGCGGTTATGTAGCACCATTGTCGACGTCATTAACTAAGTCGTCAGCAATTTGCGCCAGCGGTCATAGCTTAGAAAAGAAAAATGTTGAAAAATTATATTTTTCTATGAGTATTGAATAATATGCGTAATATACATCCATTTTCTATTGATCAATGTGAATGATTACTCATACCGTGAGTTTTTTTTTTTACTCAATTGTTTTCAACCAATGAAAATATCCTCATTACTCAACTATTTAAAGAGCCAATCAGAAAATTCGACAAGTTGACAACATACTTCAACCGTGGTATCGTTCAACCTTCCAATCGGTCATTTTGACAGCTTATTTAAACAAGACTTGTGATGACCTAACCTCACTTTCTCCTATAGCTGTCAGAATTGTCAACAAATTTTGGAAATTAATTAAAAATTAATCATAGAAAAAGTATAGTATTCTACTCGTGGGTAATGGCTACTACTCACTTAGATGATTACACTACTCGCCTGCGGCTCGTAGTGCAAACTTCATCCTTCGTGAGTAATAGCCATCATTACCCGCTCGTCGAATAATATACTATTTCAACATAGGGCGTGTTTGGGTTGACGCTCAACGGAGCGAGCAGAGCGATTACGGAGTAACGTGACGTCACAGGGAGTACACCGTGTCAAGCCGAATAAACTTGTGCAAAAATGCTGGGTTGAGCGATCAGTTGATTATTGTTTATTTTTCTTGGCATATATTTTTTGGAGTCCGAGCCCGCATTTGCACCAGAGTTCTCTCGTTTGTTTTGCATTTTAGTTGATAATTTTCAAACAGCCCCATTTTCTTTTGTATTTTGCGAAAAATGTCGGGCTACATAAACAATAAAACGGACCTAAACACTCTGAGGCTGCCAAGTTCCCTTGGAAAAATATGTTCAATAATACTAGTGATGAGGACTATCGAGAAAATTTATTCAAAAGCAAACAATTATGCAGAATTTACTAGCTATTTGATTGTTAACATTTAAACGAAATAGCTAAAACTATCCACCTAACAAGTAACAAGTATAATGTTAAAATTCAGGATTGTTTATTTATCTTATCATAGAAAATAGGTTAGGTTATACAGACATATTAAAGACATCTGATCTGCGCATGCACGCTCCAGCTGCCCACCCCACAAACTCGGAGTTTATCGAGCTCAAAATATGTCAAACCAAACACAATCAAGCGTTGTCGGAGCTTCAAAAATAACGAAAAAGAGACAAAAGTGCAAGCTCTGAGTGCACCGAGCGTGAACCCAAACGCGCCCATAAATATATTCTAAACTACGACCGCTGGAGCAAACAACAGGGGCGAGTTCAGGAATGACACACCCAGTACCCAGTGTGAGTGTGACACCGGTGCAACGCCCTAGCTGTTCAAAAATGCTAGACGGTGCTATGGGCCCAATGGCCAATTATCAATTCAGGCACATCCATAAAGTCGCACTCGCACCCTGTGCGTTATTTCTGTACTCGGCCCTGACGACGTTGTTGATGACGTCTCAATGGTGCCTCGAAATATGGCCGCGATTCTCAAAAACGAGGCCGATAAGCAATCCTGTGCAGTAGTGTGTAATATCCTTGATGATGACCACCCCTCTGCTCTTTCTATATTCATTATGGTATTGCTTTTTTAATTTCTTTTCTGTTCTGAACTGTGCAAGAGTACAATTGGCTATTAATTTCAAATAATGTGGTGCACTCGTATGGATTATATTCTCCCTTGGAGCACTAAATACCGCAGATATCTGTGACGTCACCGACTGGACGGGAAGTGCTCTGGGAGCAGTACAACCGAAAACGCTATTATTGTCTTGACAAATCCAACTGACATATTTTGATTTTTCTCCAAACCAAACAAGTTGGATATTCCAATTAAAAAATGCCACCTATGTATTAAACTTTTTAAAAATTAATCGCGAAAAGATAAGAGAAAAACAATCATTTTCAATGTGATAAATACCTGGCAAATAATTCAATAAAATGTACATCAAAACATTTTTCATCGGTGTGATTTTCTTCATAAATTCCTCTGTACAACATGATATCAAAGGCTTTGATGATACGGTTTTGTTCGATATCAACTTTCCAGGTAGTTTACCAGAAGGTTTGGAGTCGGAATATGGAGAAACTATCTTTGTAACATCTTCAATGAAGGAGAAATATAAATGTCTTTTACCCAACGTTTTGGAGAAGGAAGACGCAAAAGTTGAACCCTATTCAGGTCCTAGTCCTTTGGAACTGATTGCACCACTGTTTTCTCAAGGTATGTCAAGAATTTAGCAATTACAGCTTGTTTTAAATATTTGATTTATTTCAAGGTACATGTTCCTACCGTTTAGAAAGCTACTGGACCTATGAAGTTTGCCATGGCAAGTACGTCAGACAATTTCATGAGGAACGTGAAGGTAAAAAAGTCAAGATTCAAGAATACCTTTTGGGAAAATGGGATGAGAAACATTTGGACAGATTATTGGAAATAACACAGGCAAACAGGGACGATTTGAAACCTGAAACTGTAGTCCCTACAAAAAAAATTGACAACGTTAATTTGCCATATTATGAGGTAAGAATGGAAACAAATTGTAGGCAAAACACTTTTATTTCAATTTTAGATTTCAATGGAAAATGGCACAGCTTGTGATTTAAACTACAACAAACCCAGAACAACCAAAGTGATTTATGTGTGTTTTTTACATGGTAAGGTATACTACTATCAAAGGATCAAAAACTTGGAAAAACACAATACAATTCTTGTAGGAAAACACGAAGTATACCTTTTAAAAGAAACCTCGACTTGTTCCTATGAAATCATAATTTTAACCCCATTATTGTGTTCTCATCCTAAATACAAGCCAAAAGAAACTGGTGATTTGAAAATCAGCTGCGTTCCAACTGAAGATGCTGCAGATGAACCATACAGTCTGACTAAACTTAAAAGGGAAAGTGCTAGGCTTAAAAAAGCAGCTGAGTTGGATAGAATTAAAGTAAGAAAACATTCTAAATATTGTTGGATGAATATATAAGGTCTGCTTATTCCAGGTAGAATTAATACAATTCAAGTCAGAAGATGCCATAGCAGGAGATCCGAAATCACCAAAATTTGTCACAGATAAAGTGGCCGATGCCTCTCCTATAAAGTCGTTTTTGGAAGGAAACCATTGTTTGTATGGCGGCACTGGTTGGTGGAAATTCGAATTTTGCTATGGCAAAACTGTGGAACAATTTCACATTGAAAGAGACGGTTCTAGGACTGGCATAAATCTGGGAGTTTTCAATAAACAAAAACATTTGGAATGGATCAAAGAACATCCACATAAAAGACCGAAACCTGTAAAGGAAAGGAAGCAGTTGTCGCATTTTTATACTGATGTAAGTGATTGGATTTTAATTTGTATTTTAATTCTGTTATCTTGTTTCTTTTAAGGGAAGCGTTTGTGATAAAACAGGTCAACCAAGGCAAACTGAAGTCAAACTCAAATGTCTAGAGAAACCAAATAGCCCTTCAAGTGTTTCTTTGTATCTTTTAGAACCTAAATATTGCGAATATATTTTAGGGGTAGAATCGCCTCTAATTTGTGAAATTTTAGACAAAGCTGATGAAAATGGATTGGTACCAATACCACTTGATTTTAATGATGAGGAAAGCGAATACACTTCGTTTTCAATAAAGTTGTGAATGGTTTTTCGCATTTTTATATTAATTGAGATTTAATTTTCAATATTTGATTTGTTTTTTTTCATACATTATTCACTCACAGCAGTTGTAATATAGAATATCATTCCCATTTTAGTTGAAGTAATATAAATCAATCTTTTAAATAGACCAACTCAGTTGGAAATTGTTAATTTATTATATTTTTGTTGTAAATAAATTTTTTGATTTATATCTACTGTATTTCTTGTCAATGTACCTGTACCTACTAGCAGATTGTGTAACTTAATTCAAAAAGACTTTTTTTAAAAAAATTGTTATTATTTATGATGAATAATTTTATCAGATGTAGAGACTAATATTTGTGTCTTATACAGGGCGAGTTAAAAATAATCCGTTTTTCCATATCAAAATTTTCCACTATTTTCAATGGAACACCCTGTATATAACAACGTCAATAAAAAGAGTCGTGTTCAAAGTATCCATGTACCAATAAACATCGTCCTTTAAACTTGAAGTTTTAGCTGTAAAAAATCAAAATCGAAATCCTGGTATTTTTAATTAGCATATTTACAAAGCTTGGAAATTATATTTGCTTATAGCCCAAGAAATTTATGGGTTTTTCAAAAAAAATTGCGAGGGGCTGATTTTTTCAGGGCTGATTGGAGACTGTGTCCTGAGTATTGAGCCAAAAAATCACACTCGAAAGCCTTGTGCGTTCGGCCCTATTGGCCTTTTTCTTATTTATTTTTTTTCGACAAAATCACCTTAACAAAACTTGTAGATAATGCCTTTTTTTGCTAGCTATTTTAGTTTAGGCGTTTCGGCCATTTTAGTGCTCCAGAATTCGGAAAAAAATTAAATAGCAAACCTTTTTTATTTATTGTAACTTTAATAAAATTACTGGAAATGTACTCCATTACGTTTTCGGTTTCAGTCCAAGAAATGATACATTACATCACTAATCCAGTGAAATTATTTTCCCGGAGTGAAAGCGTGAAATCGAAATGATGTTTTTCTCCAAACGTCAAAAAAACGTCACTTTGTCAGCACCTGTCAAGATGTTAGAAATTTAATTTCTATGCTGGTAGGCAAATCCAGCGGGTTAACACCTGTCGAGGTGGTAGAAATTTAATTTCTATGCTGCTAGGCAATCGCAGCGGCAGTAGCGGCAAAGTAGTAAGAGCGCTTGCTTTTACTACTTTTTTTGCACCTGAACTATTTTTTATCAAATGCGATTGTAAAAAAAATTAACTGTGCATTTGCCAATATCAACAATATCTTTCGATCAACAAAGTACCACTTTGTGCTCTTAATACACAAATAGCTATTGTGCAATCGTCTTTATATCACATTTTACCTGCAAAATGTGTCAAATCCTTAGAAACGCTATGCATGCCACAATGTCCACCAGGTCAAATAAAATTTTTCAAATGCCTAAAAGGCCGTACAAGCGAAAGAAATAAAGTTACAATAAAATATCATCAAGCAAAGTAATAGAGAATTTTATTAGGTATAATAATCTGCAGGTTTGCTATTTAATTTTTTTCCGAATTCTGAAGCACTAAAATGGCCACAGCGCCTAAAGTAAAATAGCCAGCAAAAAAAGTCATGATGCAAAGTTGATCAGAATGTAATTATCTACAAGTTTTGTAAAGGTCATTTTGTCGAAAAAAAATAAATAAGAAAAAGGCCAATAAGGCCGAACGCACAAGGCTTTCGAGTGTGATTTTTTGGCTCAATACTCAGGACACACTCCCCAATCAGCCCTGGAAAAATCAGCCTGCCCTCGCAAAATTTTTTGCGGCTCAGGTATAAATTTCTTGGGCTATTACTAAAAAGGTAATAAAAACTGCATAAAACTATAAAAAAATACTGTATATGTTAGCTATTATGTTATAAATCAGTAAATGGTTGAATGGATTGTGTAACATTTCCTAGGGAATAGCTTCAATGACATTACGAATGTTCCACTTAGGATCTTCCAGACTATTTGGTGGACAAAGGATTACAGAATATCTCCTTGACCTAATTCCAAAGAAAAAAGTATGAAACTGTCAAGTCAGGAGAATAAGGTTTCCATATTCAATAGGACCAGCTCTCCGAATCTATCTTTTCCAAATGTCATATCTAGTGATTCCCTCGTTATTAAGCAATAATGACATAGGCCACCATCCTGCTGAAAATAGATACCTATCGTCCAGACACCATCCCGTCTTCATTATGGATACAAGACATTTCCCAACATATTAATTGTATACAGTTCCTGTTATCGTTGGTTCATTGATGAAAAATGGTCCCTATTTTTTCTCAACAGAGATTGCACACCTAACTGCTACTTTTGCGGTATCTTGCTATTCTTACTGGAACTCGTTAAATTATCTTGTATTTCAACTTGTTACTTGATATCTAACTTGACAGTTACAAAATAGTGATAGCAAGTACAGCTGTAGGTATGGTGCCAAATATAATCAAATACCCTGTACAGGGTGATCTATTATAAATGTCACACCCTGCTAACTTTTTCATTTGACGTTTTTGACAGAAGTGTCAGATACAAAATTTTTAATAAATTCTCAAAAGTTTTCAACGAAGTCAGTTTTAGGCATACAGGGTGCGTCAAAAAAGTGCAGCAGTGTGAAGTTATATTTTTTCAAATGGAACACCCTGTATATTTTGCGCTTATTTGTTAGTCCCCTTTAACCTGATTTTAACGATATACGATTTGATATGTTTATCTCTTCAGTCTTCATTTATCTCCAATAGTTATAGGGAGAAATGCGGAAATCCCTTCTTTTTCTATTTTCAATATAAAAACTTGAAAGGGGTTTTCATGTTTTTCCGCATAACTATTGAAGATAGGCATACCAAACTGTTTAACGTTGAAATCAGGTTAAAGGGGACTAACAAATAGGCGCACAATATACAGGGTGTTCCATTTGAAAAAATATAATTTTAAATGCTGCACTTTTTTGTCGAACCCTGTATGCCTAAAACCGACTTCTTTAAAAACTTTTGACAATTTCTTGAAACTTTTGTATTTGACAATTCTGTCAAAAAAGTCAAATGAAAAACTTAGAAGGGGGTGACATTTATAATAGATCACCCTGTACCTATAAACCCTATAAAAATACCAGGATTTCTATTTAAATTTTTTTCGGCTAAAACTTTAAGTTACAATTGGTACATGGATACCTACCTTTAACATGACTCTTTTTTTTTTGACGTTGTGATATACAGGGCCTATTGAAAATAGTATTGAATTTGGATGTTGAAAAACAGATTTTGTTTTAACTCGCCCTGTATAAAGTGGTAAAAAAATTTGCAGCCTACTACAAAAAACTTTAGGTCAAGAGAAATCGAATGGTGCAAACCGCAAGTGTCCAGCACACCTTGTTTATAAGTTTTAAGCATTTAAAATGGGTCACTCTCGGCTGGGACACCCTGTATTTTTCCAAAATTTAATCTCAAACATGTAGTTTGCATCTATTGAAACTTTATTTTAGAATTGGTTCAATGTTTATTTTCTTAGATTTGTCAAAATAATAGAATAACTTGATTGTTATAATTTTATTACCTATTGTCTTAAAATTTAGTGTATTACTTGAGCACCTGGGATCTTATTTTCGAATATTTTCGCATACGCAATTTGATACGATTTCGAATGCTCCACATTTGATTTACATTGCTGTCAGTCAAATTTCGTGTACAAAATGTACTCGAATGGTTCCGAAAATCGCACCCCTGATACAATGCAAGTTTGTCAATCTTTGAGCAACTCCAATTTCAGGTCGCTAATAAACTGCTACCTCTATTTTTGATAAATAGAAATAAAGATTGGTAAAAGTTCACACTCCAGTAAAAACACACATTGAGACTCCACAAATAAGAGAAAATATTAACTGAGCCTCCCTCACGAAGAGCTGATTATGTTGCCATATAAATAGATTGAATCATAATACAAGGAAACAAATAACGTTGTTAACCTTTTCAGCAGCTATTAACAAATCAGCTATGAGCGGTCAATGTCACACCAATCTGGTATGATAGATCATTTGTCCTTAACATTGCAATAGTAAATTAATTGAATAATCTAATGAATCATGAAAGTATGCCATATATAACTAACCAGAACTAGTTCATTTATATTTAGTAGTCATTGTTCAGTACTCATACAACTTGGAAAGAAAATGACTTACGCCTTCTTTTTTGGAAGTTTAAACATATAAGTACATTTTAAAAGACTGGAAAGTTGATGATTTTATTTTAATACATAAATACAAAAAATACACTTCCACATGACTGGTTTTATTTTAAATTGCAATCAAGTTAAGTGAAATCTAATCACAAAAGGTTATTGTCTAAAGCCAGTCTAGGGAAAACCCCGCTATCTTTGTCTGGAGGTTAATGTTCAGTTCACGATTATCATAAAATGAACCGGTAGAGTAAAAATTGCGTCACATATTTTTGTATAATAAAGAAACGTGCTATAGATAAATTGCCAGTGAAAGCTGATTAATTTATTGCACATGACTGGAGACGATTTATTGCGCATAATAATAATATCTCCTCTAGACTTTGAATTTGATATTCATGATCGGGATTAGGGTAATCAATGATAAAATAAAACATCACACATTTTTGTAGCATATTATACTTTTAAAGTTGAGTATTTGAGAGTTAAAAATTTTACAAGCAATATTTTGAAACAGTATTAACGATATTTTAAGATGTAATTTAAAAAAAATAATAACAAGAAATCAACAACCAATCGGGCTACAAGTTATAATAATTATTATTAAGAGTAACACAGGAGTCATTAAGTTACAATCACAGGTGGAAAATAATAATAAAATTATAAAAAGAGGGTAATAAATTAAGATATTTACAACACATACATATTATTTGTTTAATGATAAATGATAAAACACACCTTTATTTTAATTTTAAATATTTAAGCAATTCTTTTAAAAGTACCAGATTTCTAAGGTATTCAACAATGCAACTGGTAGTTTCTTGGAATTCACATTTAAAAATGACTCATTGAAAACATTTTACAGATCATTTTTAATCAAAATATTTTCCCATACATTTCCCTTTGTTTATAAAAATAAAAGTCTGAACTTTCTAAAAAGCGGTTTATTTAAAGTTGAGAAATTCTCAATAACATCATTTAAAAGATTTTAAAAAGTTTCTTTAAACTGTAGTGAAGTCGGGATACAGTGAACACTGTTCTGGATATCACAAACAATGTTTCCATTTATTTTAATGTAAAAAGGCATTGCATGCTTCAATATATGGATAGTTTGTTACCTGTATCTCTACTGTACTGTATTTAAAAATAAATAATCCTTGTACTACAAATGTAGGGATCCCACAACACTGCTTACTAAGTAAGTAGGTAGGTAGGTAGGTATATTTATAAGGAAAATCAAGCATTATAATATTTCAATATTCATTAATATTAGAGTCTTTTAGTGGATTTAATAAATACCTAAATGTAACAAAAAATCTTGGCAAATAGGAAAATTGAAATATAAAATATACAAACTAAACGAACAAACTAATAATGAGAGCAATTTTAAATTGCAGAACAAAATTGCCACACAAGTGTACAGATAACTAATTTACCACTGTTTAAATACAAATTTTAAATGCGATTATAAAACAGTAATTTATTATTTTAACAGACAAAGCCAATTATCCATTTCAAAAACCCATGATCATTATATATTTGCAATTTAATTAACAAAGCTCCAAGCATAAAATTTATTGCAGGCAAGTTTCCAAAAATCCTCGCCAACTAATAAATTCTATGTATGTAAATGAGTAATTGCCAAATTATTGCAAAATAGTAATAACTTTCTCTTTCATCATGGCAATTTTGCTTTGCTTCTACCTATCTAAGGACTATGTACATTATAAATTATCACAGAACCCATTGTTTAAACCTATATATTTAATGCGATCAATAATAATTTTCACAACATTAAAAAGAATGGAAATACTTACTTCTGAGAGGAATTATTTTCAATAGAGCTAATAAATAAATAAATTGCTTTTGCCTAATATTCTTGATCATCACGTCATATGTATCCCTAATATTCGACTTGAATATTCGTAAGTAACATAACTTATACTCACTGCGGGTATGGCTTTGATAAAATTGGGAGTTATTCCTCTGTAAAGCCCAAAAATTCCTTCTTTCCTCAGAATGGTTCGAAAAACATTAGACATTGTAGCCGTAGATGGATCAATAGATGTGTGGATTACTTGAGCTTGCAACCGTGTTCTAACCAATGCTAAAGGATAAGAACACATTTGTCCTAAAGTACTACTGGCGCTGCCACATGCAAGTAACGTCCAAAAACTGGGCTGTTCGTCACTCGAATGCGTTTTAAAATATTTCTTTTTTAATGTTTCATAAACTGCCAAATCTATTCCAGCATAAGGAACTATGCCCAATATATTTGGAACATAGCCTCTATAAAATGCCCTTAGACCTTCTTCAATGTAGATTTTGTAGGCCGCATCAGATATACCTTTGTACTGTCCTGTTATTCTCAAGGCAAGTCTTGTTTTCAGGACTTCTAATGGATAAATAAATGTTTGACTAACGCCTCCCGCTATAGCGCCAGCGAAAAATCTTTCATAAATGCTCAATGCCTCTTTGGAATTGCCTTTAATTAAACGTTTAATTTGTTCATATGCAGCAAATTTAAGAGCAGACTCTGGTGCTATTTTTAATATATTCATGCCATTGCCTCTCCATAGTCCTAAAAATCCTCCTTCTTTGACCATATTATTTAAACAATTACCTATTTTTTGCCTTGAAGGCTGCACTTGAAGAAACACTTTTAGCCTATCCAATGGTGCAGTACAAGTTCTGGAAACTGCTCCAGCTACTCCACCAGCTGCTAAATGTCTCCACCACATTCCAGTTTGCATTTCGCTCTGGGTAAAGTCATCAGGAATGTTCATGTCTTCACCGATATCCAAATAGGTGGAATGCCGCCAATATTTGATGAGTTCTTGAATGCTATTGCCTGGGGCCAAAAGTAAAAAGTCTCGCCACTCATCATAGCTTATATTGAGGCTACCGTCTTGGTCCATTCTTTGTAGTAAGTTTGTAGCTTCCCTCCGGTCTAGAGGTATTCCCAAGTCACTGAACGCCCTAATAAGTTCTTCCAGGTCAATTTTACCATCTCTATTCTTGTCAAGGCTAGCGAAATGCAGTTTCAAATTTTTTTCGTGTTCCCTTACATAATAAATGAAGTCGGCTAACGAAAGGTCACTACTACTGGTTGATCGGTTGCTACTTTTCAGGAACCTTTCGGCGTACTTTTGATTTACCCCGTGCTCGTGAAGGGCTGCGGACAAATCGTTAATGTCGATCCTTCCGTTGCCGTTTTTGTCCAGCTTGATGAACAGCTTCTCGAATCTTTCTTCGTCTTCCTGCGGCATCTCGTGAAAATAGTGTGGCGGGATCTTTGGTATATCTTTGGAACGCATTATTTATAGAGAAAAACCGTGCAAGCTGCAGTCACGCTGCAGAGAGAAACTCGGCCAGTGGTAAATTTTCTACATTCTCTGACCAACTGACGACTGACATCCGAACACATATGCCAAATTTTCGTGACGATCAGCTGACAATTGACATTTTTTTGACTCTTGAAAGACTTTAATTGCATCATGAGAGGATTGCGTTCGAGAACCTGGTTGTTGGTGTGAAAATTATTTCAAGAAGTAGGGGTCCGACACCGCACTTCGGTGTGCACTCTGTGTGTGAGAGTGACCCTAGAGTAACTCTAAACCGTTCATAGATTAACAGTTGCTTACTCGGAGCGTTACGCTGGAATCGTTCAGAAGTCGAGAGTTGACGTGCCCAGAGTGCGCCCAAATTACCCCACTCAGGGACTGAGTTGAAAAACGTAGGTAGAAAAACGCCCCGCGGTTTTTACGTTTTTACCAAGTTTGACGTGATTCATGACATTGACATTGGCCACGTTTAACATTGCGTTTAACAGATACAAAGGGCGCGTTCTTTTATTCAGCAATGGATCCATCTGCTACCAGCATTATAGGACAGACATCCCTATTTTGTATGAGCTAGACAAAGAAAGGCTGATTGCTGATGGATGATGGATCCACCGCTAAATAAAAGAAATCGCCCAAACGTTGGTAAGGCTGAAGACACAATAGAGAGTTCTCGTGCTGTCCAAATTTCAAATACCGTAACGTTATTTGACAAGTATGACAGTTCTTACGGCATAGAGTTAGCGGAGCCCGCTACCTTAACGAGAGTTAGCGGATGCCTTAAGGGGGTTTTACATGCTGCAATAAATCTTGCAGTTAGACGGTGCAAGTGCAAGTACCTGCAAGACTCTTTCTGTAAGATTTCTTGCGCCGTCTTGCGGTTTGGTTTTACATGTGTTTTGAAATCTTTCAATTGCTTTCTTCTGCCAACATAAAGAAAAAAAAATTATAGGAAAACAGAACCTTACTTTTCAATACCTATTCTTGTTGGTGTTGGTAGTTGGTACTTGTTTACTATTACTTTTGTTGTATGTAAAAAATGAAAATGAATCGTATTGTATCTCAAAAATTAATAGTAGAAATAGAAAAAGGTTATTGCTGCTAGTCTTTGCATCATTATTGGTGCCTCCACTATGTTACAAGAAACCATTGTATTTGCCTACGATACGTCGATACCTACGTGTTGATGATTCTCAGTATAATAAAATAAAATATCTCTACCTGCATATTGAAAATTAAAATTGATTCAAACAGATAATGTCATTGGTGCCTACCTAATATCATTATTGTTTCCTATGAAACCTAGGTACCTACCGAGGTATCTATCTACCTATAAAAGTAGATTATTTTCAGTGTATAATTAAATAAATAAATGATCTCTACTTAGATTTATTTGTATTTTAAGTCGATAGTTGATTCAAACACGGCTCTGATATAAGTGGGTATACCTAATCTATCCTTATTAATCTATAAAATATAAACATAATTTCAAAAGTAGTAACTTTTATTGAAAGTTGGCATGCCAAAAATTACCAAATTTTCCCCCAAAAATAGTCTTGCAGAGTCTTGCACTTGCAGAAATATCGAGCAGAACCGATAAGTTGCAATTGCAAGAAGTCTTGCGACTTGTCATCAGCTGGGTTGCAACTGCGCATGCCTTTTGCAAGAGTTCTTGCAACTTGCACCGACTTGCAGGTACTCTTGCAGCATGTAAAAGATCCTTTACCGTAACGCTATGCTTTGTCAAAATTAGTTTACGCTCCATTTACGTTTGCAAGAACAGCAAATTCGAATATTCTTCCATAAAAACACCAAGCGAAAATTAATCAAACTCAGGAATTTTCAGAATAAATAAAAGTTGGCAAACAAGCAAAAAGAAGTTGGGTTAGATCACTCAATTTAGCTGTCAAAATGTAAACAGAATAAGGGATTAGAGGATTTTTGTGTCTTCGTGCACGAGAACTATAAAATACCATTCAAAATACCGTATTATTACCTGTACCATTAGCGTAGCGTCTGAATCACGAGAACTTTCTAATAACCCTTTTCACGTGGCTCCGGTTTAACAAACCGCAACATACCGCTCAAATTCGAGTGGTAGGTAACCATCACGTTACTTTGTAACGGTTAGAAAACGGTATGTCATTTCTCTAACCCGGTTAGTTAAACCGCGGGAGCACACTTTATTTGCGTTTGGAAATAATTTGGTGCCCGAATGAAGTAAAGATGAAAGATGGTGGGTGGCGGTTCCTCCATAAGAGCACATGTGCACGTGCACTCCCAAATTAATATCAAACAACTTTAAATTTAATTTTATCATTCTTCAAATTTTAACATTCTACCTGTAAAATATTAATTTAAAAAATTAGTGGCCAAATGCGCCAGCAAAACAAACGCAACCGGCAACGCTGGAATCACAGCGTCCACCGCGTCGCTTGATCGCCCCGTTCACTGCACATTTCAATATTAAATCCAATTGGTGGAACTATGCCCCCCCGCACTCTTTGTTCCCCGCGAAGGTCTAGCGACGTTCGATGTTTTAAGCTGGCTGGTGTGCACATGTAGTCAGTGCACTTTGGGATCGGAAGATGTTGTTTTATATTTATTTCGATTCGAGCGCGATTTAACTGAAAACTGTGTGTAGAATGGCGGGATTTCTGAACCCCGATAGCCTTAGCGTGCAATATTTGAAAACAATTAAATTTTCTTCGCTTTCTTTGGAGGAAAAAATCCAAATCAAATGTGTCGGCCGTCCAAAGCCAAATTTAATAATCACCAACATAACAAAATGCAAAAGTCGTGATTATAAACGAACTTTTAAAATGGAAACTTACGAAAAAACTGACTGGTTGTGCGGTTGTGATGTTAGTAATAGTCTTTACTGTTTTCCCTGTTTGTTATTTGGAAGCGATGAAGCATCAGAATGGACAAAATCCGGCGTTAAAGATTTAGTACATTTATCCGAAAAAATTAAAAAACATCAAAACTCAAAATCACATCTTACTCTTATCTTTCAATACAAAACGTGTCTGTGAGAATTGTGAGATTGAAAACTATAATACATTTATGTATAAAAACAATTGTTAGACCAGGACGATGTACTCAGCGAGGTAAGTTACTTTGTTACTTAATTTCTAGTTTATTGATATAAGATCCTTCAATTTCCACGATTTGATAGACCGAAAAAAGTATTAAATTGAGCTTAGTTGGTTCTTTGGTAGGGTAGATATGAAATCCCTTAACAATATTTTTAATTATTGGTAGGTAAACACATCACATAACTCATACGATCACTTACAATAAATTATTTTTTTAAAGGCCTAAAATAAACACTTCTGGGCGTGGCACCCCGAATAATTTCGCGCCTCCGGCGGGCATCCCCCTTTCGGCATTTATTATGAATTACAAATTATGTGCACCCCCAATATGTTATACCACGAGCCGCCACTGGTGGGACACCGTTTACTCGGTACAAAATGATGGTGTATTCGATGTTACACCGCCGATTACACATTCATCACGTGATATGTGTGCTTATGGATAATCCTCTTTACAACCACAATCAATTTTTTAATGTAAACTTTTAAATATCATTTTGTGTATTGTAATGTTGGTTCATGTGATTTTGAATATTTTGTTATTTGTTGCTCTGCGTGAAATGCTATGTAGTACTGTGTAATTTGTTAAAAAAAATCAATTTATTGTAACGACAAATGTACTTAATGTGCATATCTTTATAAATCTGACATTTTATTCAAATTTATTTAATATTTATAGTAATAGCTTTAATGTTTATACTAGTGTAATCGACACATCCAATATACCAATGTATCAGATGGACTAAGGATTGAATAAATAAATAAATAAATAAATAAATAAATATAGCCCTGCACTACACGAACATCGCCCTAAAATCCCATTCCGAACTCAACTGTAATGACGTTCTATCATTGAAAAATTGATTCGTTCAGCAGAACTACAGTGACTTTATTACCACAGTGGCGACAATTGCGGTCTCATTTTTGATTGGTTCAAAAATCCCATATGTTTATATTGAAAATGCCGCCATCTTGTTCCCAACCTCTTGTTACTTTTAAATATGAATATATAGGATTTAGGTGAACATCCATCATAAAACATGGAAAACAACGTATTTGATGAACCTGATAATGGTCATCAAATATGCCGATTTTAATTTTTTATGATAGATGTCTATTTAAATCTTATATATTAATATTTGAAAGTAACAGGAGGTTGGGAACAAGATGGCGGCGGGAACTCTATTGTCGCCACTGTATGTAAAGCAGAACTAAGAGTTTACCAAACGTATTCTATTGGTATTTGTGAACTATTTAAAATCCTTTTTGGTTCTGGTGAACGTAGCCATTCACCGCAATTACTCAATACGTTCAGAAATAGCGCACTCCGACTGATGAATTCAGAACACTCTGACAATCAATTAGGCCCGTATTCATAGTCGATGCTCAAGGTTGCGTCTTGGCTCAAGTACGACTTGACGCTATATTTGCTATTCCAAACAGCATGAACCGATGCTCATAACTGTCAAAAATCGGAGCTTGAGCCAAGCACCCGTCTGATACCGGGCTTACACTACCTTCACACTCCATTTCTAAACACACTCCTACTGCAGCTGGGTTCGGCTATTTAGCGCGGAGTTGGAGTGGAGTGAACAGAGCTAATGGAGTCACCCCTAAATACGGTAAAAAGCAAAACCCGAACGGCTGGAGTGCGAATGGAATCACTCGGAGTGCACGGAGTGAGCAAGCCGAACCCACCTTGTGTGATTTTTATTATTTCATTGTTTTTATACGACACACCACGTTCTCGAACGCAGCCCTGCGCCACTTCCTCAACGTTAAAAATTGCAATTTTTTTTTGCGCCATTTCATTCGTTAATTCTGTGGTTTGTTTGTTTGTGTAATCTATGGTTTGTGTTGTTCGGAGCAGCACTTCCTGCTTTGAGGCGTTCGTTTGTGTTATGGCAATGAACTGACGAACGTTATTATGGTTATTCTGCCATAAGCCTAGTACTCATAACTGCGAAATTCGCATTTTTTTGACATTGCGTTGACAATTTGACGTTTTATGCGTGTATCAAACGTCAATTTA